TTTTGACCTCAGAACACATCCCTGCAAACTTGGCCCCCTCAGACTGCAGAAAAGGCAGGAGGAACTCACTTGTGGTGGCCCTGTCAAAAGCAGGCGCCGGGGGTGGAAGGTCCTGGTGCCAGACGGCTCAGCCTGATTGCTGAAGTCCGCGTGGTGCTGTCGGGCTGTCGTCCACTGCCTGTAGTACAGAGACTGCTCTTCACTGCTCATGTCCTTGTGGAGCAGAGGCCTCAGGGAGCTCAGCCAAGACACGTCAGCGTGCGGCAGGAGGGAGGAGGAGGAAGGCAAGTTCCCGTTTTTCTGCGAGCTCAGGAGGCAGTAGGCAGCTTTGGATAGGATGACGATGCGTGGCAGCGCCACACGGAGGGCCTTGCTGTCCTTGGCTGACTGGGCAGGCCACTGAAAGGTCTGGGAGACTGATGACAGGGAGGAGAGCTTGGGAGTGGTGCTGCTCGCCATCTGGTTACCCAGCGAGTCACACTCTTGTTTCAGGGTCTCTCTGGCTGTAAAACTGGAGTAAGCTCCCTCGTCTACTGAGCTGTGAGCCACAGCCTGGAAGTTCAGGGATGGAGCCTGCTTCTGAGACTTGTCTGCAGCACTCGAGGAGCTCACACCGTTGTCAGCCAGGGAGCCTGGGAAAACAAAAAGCAATGACTGATGAAAGAAAACCACTAATTCATTTGATCTACACGACATTCCTAATGAACAAATACTTCTGTTCAATGAATGCTGTTGTGGCTTAGGTCAGTGTTGCACTATGTAAGAAGAAATCACTTACATCTGTCTGTCTCTTTGGCTGGGACAGGCAAATGCCCTGGAGCAACAGGGTTCAGACTCCAAGTGTTCAATCCTAATCTCTGTATGCTAGCTATCATTTCCCATGTAGGATTTGGAATTTGATGGTACAGTGTTCTGAAAGTCAAGTTTAACAAAACACTGTATACACAGATCAATTGCATCTTCCTTTCTAGGAAGAACATAGCATTTATTTCACTGCAACTTGGACATGAACTGGGCTATGTCCCCTCCTCCCTACATGTCAGGTTTAGTTAGTGTATGGGAAGACCTGGTGCATAAAAAAGACCCAGTTCAGCTGTCTTAATAACTCAGACTCATAGGGAGAAAAAGAGAAGGAACCACAAGTGTCTGCAGAATGCAAAGAAGGGAAGGCTTGGTGGGAGGTGATGCCTGAAGAGGTAGGACAAGACCCAACCATTCTGTTGCTCTTGGCAAGGAGGCAGATATCCATCCTCACCCACAGGTACTCCCAGAGTTCAGAGCATTTTTCTATTCCTATTTTTCTATTCTTTTTGCTCTGATTTTTAAGATCTTGTCAGGATCCACTGAACAAAGCTAGCAACAAATGTGAAATGAAAGTTTAAAAATCAAAATCACAAGGGATGCTTAGCTATGGCATACCATCCCTTCCACTGAAACACCCTCTCCTTCTAGCAGTAGACAGGAAAATTGCTCACTGTGTGAAGAATCTGCAGCATTTCATTGTTTAGCCTGCAGCTGAATCCAGCTAAGCAACCCACATTTGAGAAAACATCTCACTGTTTGCATCCAAATTCCAGTGAGGCAGGAATAAAAACTTGTTTTTCAGACCAACAGCAGAATGACTGACCTGAGGTTCCGGTGACAGCACTGCTGTTGCTCTGGGGCCGGTCCAAGTCTATCAGCAGCTCATCAGAGTCATTCTCGCTGCCATTTGCCTTCTCCTGCTCCTTCTCGCTGAGGTCAAGAGCTACAATAGGCCCTCGAATTGCCTCCTTGGAGACGTAGCAGCATGCCAGGCCTACCTCTTGCTCTAACGCAGTACGAGTTAAGTAGCTGGAGTCAATTAGTCGAAGGTCACAGTATTTCAACGACCTAGGAAAGCCAACACAAATGAAAAAAGAAGTTTTGCTTTCTCTGACTTTTAAGAACACTCCCTATATTTAATTGCTTACTAAATATTCATGAACAATTTTATTAGCCTGTACATATAAAATGATTTTAAAATATTCAGCATTTAAGTTGTGTTCCTTCATACTTTGCACAGACACTGATCCACACAGTAGAGAAATATGACTTTTCACAAACTGTACTTTCCAAACCTTTAAAAAAACCCTTAAACCTTTCCAAAACGAAATCTTCAGTTACTAACTGAAGTCTACAAAAACAGACTTCTTTTGTGAAAAGAAAGCTAGATGGTATCAAACCCAACTTATCTAAACACATTAGAGAGCAACCATATTGACAGAGTAATAACAGCACCTGGGGAAAGTCTCTCCCAGAGGGTCTTTGCCAGTGAGAATAACAATGCAAGGTAGACCTTCCAGATCCTGATAGGTGCGAGGAATCCAGTCATCCTGCTCATTGCCCCTCCAAGCCTGTGAACAAAGAATATTCCAGTTACACCTAAATCACATCTTCTAAATCTTCAGCTGTTTCCTTTTTTCACCAGCTCCTGCTTTTGCTTTGTATATAGGCCTTGCTTACTCAACAGCCAACATGAAGGAGACCTTGGGTGCAGGCATGCATTTGTTTTCTGGTAGCCAACTGTTAGCCAAGCAAAGAAAATGGGTGCACAGCATATGTTATTCAGTGCTGGAAATATTCACCAGGTGTGGTATTAGTGTGGGCTGTCAGAGAAAAAAGCCATCGATGCATTCAATGTGGCACAGATAAAAGATATTAATGTAAAGCTGAAGTAAGACTTTGAAGTGGAGTATGAAAATGGGCCAATGAACCTTGTTTAATTATAATATACAATGAAAGATTATGTGACAGAAACACATTTCACCTTTCCCTGGAGGCAATCCCCCCCTAAAAGAACTCCTTACCTGCAGTCTATCAAGGCCCAAGACCACAAAACTGCACCATTTTCCCTTAGCACTGGAAAGGTTGGTAGCATCAGTCTCATGTCCTTACACCCTTCACTTCCCCTGGTTCAGCAGAGCTTACTGAAAAAATTTATTTCTCCAATTAACTAGCAGTACCTAATGACTTGGGAAAGCAGCCTTGGCAGCAAAGACAGAATGTATGGCTCAACAGGCTTAGTCCAGCTGTGTGTTCCCCCATCTCTCCACAGACCAAAGTTTCTGTGAAAGTGCATGACTAGAAAGTGAAATAGGGGAAGACAATTTTTCTTTTGATTTTCCTTGACTTTCTTTTTGCTACCATAAGGACCTAAAAAGAATGAGTACCTGGGGCTTTGGGGTGTAAACTTGCACCCTGAATATACATTTTTTGACCATTTTTCTCAGAAGTCAGAGAGGCATAACCCTCAGGGCTCCTCACTTCTGAATGTGTCCCAAGCAGTTTGATTCTTGTTACACTTAAAGGTATGCCACGACAGCATCCCTGGTCAGTGAAACAGTTATTTAAATTGTCTTCCATCTCTTGTTTCATTCTGTAGCTCTGACTCCCTGATGGAGAAGAATGAGCTGTCTGGCTGCTCTGGCTGACCAGCAGGCTTGTCTGACAGAACAATGCAGCCACCAGCACTGCAGAGACATCTGCCCACCCTCCCTGCCCTGCTGTGGCATCACAAACCCTGCTAATGCCATCTGAGAGGCCAAGTCAAGTCACACTTTCCAGCTGGGTTCACTAACACCTATAAAGTTTCTCTCTCTGACTCTGAAAATGGTCATGATGAGGAATCATCCTTCCTGCAACCAAGATTATTTATTGGTGGGACTACATTCTGAGCCTCAGCACTCAGTAGCCTCATATTGCTCTCTCCCCCCATGCACACATCAAAAAAAGGGCTGGGATGCTTGCAGTGAAAGCTCTCCACTGCCTCTAGTTCTTTAGTTTCAGTACTCCACCTAATGTCAGAACAAATGTCCAGCAGCATAGAGACTAAATCAAATTCATCTGCAATAACCTAGGCTGATGAATTTTATAATGGGAATCAGTTCCCCAAAGATATGCTCACACCATGTCAGAAATCTTGTGTTATCCCAGGCACCAGACTAGCAGGTATGGTAGTGCAGCACCAGCCTCACAGGTGACCTTTATTATTCTGAAATACCACTGGGACATCCCACCTAAAAAGACACTACAGGGTTATATCTGGGAAACTGAATTCCCCTCCTCAACTCCTTTCATATGCATGGTTCTGATTTGAGGGCTTTTCTTCTAGTAAACTGCAAGGAAAGAAACAAATCCAGAATCCTACAGCTCTGTTTAGTCCAAAAATACATCTTATGTTTTGGAGAGAGGAATAAGAAGAAATATTTTGAAGATTTTTCACTCTCTACATGATAAAATTCCTCTATTCCAGACCAATGTCTACATGGACACCCACCTGCAACAGCTCTACAGTCAAGGCCTCACAGGCTGCTTCAGCACTGTGTAAGGGTTGCAACTCATTATGGCAAAGCACTATTAAGAAGCCCTCACAGGATTCAGTCCAGAATTATTTAAGGGTGGAATTCATGCCTATCCAAAAAATCCCACCAGCACAGAGCAGTTAATATCACATGTTATTGTCTCATTTATGATATTTTCTTCCCTCTCTTGCTGCACATAAAGTTTGAGAAGCAGGAGTCATAGCTTCTTTATAGGACATTTTATCTGCTTTTGGCTGTAGGCAAGCTCTTTCAGACAGGTTCACAAAATTAATTCCTCTTTTCTGTGGTTTTGGATACACTGTGTAGCTCATAGTAGAAGCAGGAAATTAAGCTCTCTGTGAGACTTAGAGCAGAGATCAGGACAAATAACCAGTACTGCTTTAAGGCTGATACCTAAGGCAGGCAACTCATTGCCCCTTTGTTTAATGTAGTGAGGCCAATGAAGTGGATTTGGCTACTTGAACCATGCTCGTGTAAATCCATGCAAAATTTTAGGCTGGTGCAGATATGCCAGGCATATATGCATGTAGCCTCTTCAGGCTTTCAGCATGCAGGGGGTTGAGGAAAGAAATCTATGACAAACAGCATACTTTACCAGTTATCAGAAGGGCAGAAGATGGATGAACAGAGCAGACAACAGATACACTAGACAGACAGATAAGTTGGTGGAAATAATTAGTTTGCCTACAGAGATCTGAGCTCTGCTTTTAGAGATGAACCCTATCTGATGTGTGCTGTCAATCAACTTTAGGAAGTGAAATAACAGCTGGTATTTGACTTCATGGACCAGTAAAAATTCAGGTTGGGTCCAAGTCTCTCTACCTTCTATGCTCAAAGTACAGAAATGCATTCACAGCGACAGACACAGAACACCTGCCCTCTCCCTATAGAACAATCAACCTATAAACACATGTGCATAAACACAAAACTACAGCAGCCAGATGACTACAGCGAGCACACAAACAAACATTCAGCTCCTGCTAACCTTGAGCCGTGTCACGAAGTGTTTCGCGACAGTGAGCTCCGAGGCAGGATTCCCAAGGAGGATTTCAAAACGATACTGCAGCCCCAGCTTGTCCCTCACTTCCTGCAGCCTCTCCTTGGCCAGCATGGCCAGCTGCACCGACGGCACCCGAATGACGAGCATGTGGCCACAGCCGTTCTTATCCTTTCCCGGACTTGTGATGAGGTCGTCCATTATGCTGAGTGTTTCAGGTGTGCTGTGATCCCTTAGAGAGGCCATGGTGGTGAGGGCCATCAGAGCTTGGGAATACTGCTGAATGAGCAGGTAGCAGCGGATCACCATGCTGTGCAGCCGGGGGTACCTTGGGGGAGACACAGTTCTGCATCAGCACATGCAAAATCACAGCACTGTCTGAAAATCACAGGACAGCATAGTGAGGAAGTGCCTATTTTTTCCAGTAGTGCTCAAAGAAAGAAGTCTTCCATTCTCATAGACAAAAATTTTGAACAAAAATTATCTGCATTTGGCCCAAGTCCTGAGCTCGAGTAACAGGAATTATAAACTTCTGTTACCCTCATCTGGTCCAAAATTTCAGCTGAAGATCTTTGGCTTGATGGAGATAAGGAACACCTCAGATCCAATTTATTTCGGGAACACACGCTTATAATTGCTTTCCTTTCCACAAACTTTTTCTTCTACAAACTTGAGGACCATTGTGGCTTCAAGTGGTTTGTGGGAGAAGTAGTTCATAATTTCACAGCTCTCAATCTCTCACCAGAATGTTGGACGTACCAATAGGAATTGCTGGCTCTGAGCCAAATCTGAACTCCCATTTTGCCTTTTAACTTACATAGCCAACATCTTTGCTTTCATTACAGCTACATGCAGTGACAACAAATATGAAATAACATTTTAAGAGAAATAAACTTAAAACCTACTCAAGCAAAAACCCAACTCAATTTCTAGACATTTCCCATCATATCACTTGCCACCATAATACAGAAAAACACTACACTATTATGCCTTGAGTGCTGGTCTCGTGTCACATAGGTCCAAATAACTAAAATAACTAGAACTTCCAAATTTCTCTGGTCTCTTTCTTGAGTAATCTAATAGACAATATGACATCCATTTAAAGACAGTTTTGGGTTTGTGTTCAGCCAGTAGTTTGTTCTGGATACCACAAGCCAGTCATTAAACCAGTATGTCATTAAACCAGTTTTTAAAATACTTTTTATTCTTCCTGCCATAAAAGTGCCCACTGCACTTCTGCTACTCAAACAAATGGAGCCTTTCTTATAATACAAAAATGTTTGCAATATTTTCAGATTGTAAGGCTGAATGGCTCATCCACCCAGACAGAATATTCCAGTTTCTTGAAGACAGAGCCTAAACTGATAAACTGCAACACAAAAACATATCCTGGCTCCAAGGCAGAGAGGTTCACCTGCCATCAATTTCTGATATTATCCTAATCTCATATGATTATTTGCACATACATAAATCCTCCTTCATCCTTTTTCCCACCCACACTTGAACAGAAGGAGAGTGATAGTGACCACCATCTCTTCCACTGGATTTGACCAGAAAGAATAGGAGAAACCTAAGAAACTGACCTAATTATTATTGCCTATTTGTAGATAACAACAATATTATTAATGATGATCATTAATTACAATAGTATTAATGGCGCACTTAATTATAAATGTTGCTAATTTAATACATTTTATATTGACTTTTACTTAATAAATACAGATGCATTTACAACTACTCTACTGACCTAATTAAAACAGAAAACACTGTACTGAACACAGAACAATCCCATTCTAGCAAATATGAAAACATGAGACCTATTATTTGAAGAGCTATAAGGGATCTGTCCTGCTGACAGGCACAGCAGATTAACTCCACATTGCTGGAAATGACAGTACTCCCCTCACTCCTGAAATGGGCACATTAAATTGGATCTTGGATATGTGCATGAAAGTAGCTTTTTCAGGCAGCTGCAGGGTGCTAAGAGGCCCTGAGCTGCAGGAACCAAAACCACGGCCAGCTACTGAAATAACAAAAATTGGTTTTGAAACACCCTCACCACCAACAAGAGAGACATCAGAAGTGGTGAGGCATGAAACCTCTGGTACCTTCTGAGCTCAGTGAGGGCTGAGCCAAAAGAAGAGAGAAGCACAGCTGAGCCCAGCTTGCTGCTGAAAGGAGCCAATCTCTTCTAAAAACAAATGAAGGATATCCCCTCCCTTCTTCAACTGCACTAAATTTGTTACAAAAATAAAATTGCACATACTTCATGTTCTCCAAGATCAACATCAAAGGTCATCATGTCTTCTCCCCCGTAATGGGGCTCATAAAGATGTATCTTTAAGATCCCAACTGGGCAGAATCCCAAGTTTCCATGTTATTATTTACCTTTCTAAAAGCGTGTTGACCATTTTTTCAAAGGTTTCATCACATCTCAAAAGGGGACTTGTGACTCCCCATTGGAGGGATTTGCTGTATTCATTCAAACCAAAGTATAGCTTTTCTTCACTTGCTGCATCATCCTGTTTCATACACAAACAGCAAAAATATAAGGTATTCTGGAACAAAGTTTTATTTCTTATGTAATTTAAAAAAAAAGTGGAAAGCACTTTCCCAACCAAAGAATCCTTTCTTTTTATCCATTCTCCCTAAGTAATGCTATTTATTTGTTTCAATGAATACAATAAAATGTAATTTTTTTTTCCCCTTAACTTATTATTTGCCTAAAGCTAGGAAAGACAGGTGTAAGTCCTTGCAAATTTTTCAGTGTTATCTCCTACCTGTGACTGCAGGGGGTTTCTAGAATCCTGCCAACTACTTTCTGACTCCCTATCTCTGGCTTTAAATCTACTGACTAGTGTCATCTCACTTCTATTTAGAGTAGAACCTGAAAAGAGAAGGATTATTAATTTCCAAAGTTGTTCTTGATTGTCAGAGTCTACATGCTTTTCTAATGGAAACCACAAATTAATAGAGGGGTTTTTTTGGTTGGAATGTAAATCTGCATTCAGCTATCAGAAAGGCAGAATATTTGTGTTTCAAATTTCATGAGCCTTTGATGAAAGCACAGCATGTTCTCCAGTTCATTTATATCAGCAGTAATCTCTAGGAATGTAATTAACCACCTACAGTCTCCCCCGCTTTTGTGGGTTATTTTTTTAATCAGAAGACTGAAAGCTGTTAATTTTTTTACTTTTGGGAAACAAAAAAATTGCCCAGACCATTTTAGAAACCATTAAACATGGTTTATATTAACAATTGACCAAAAAGCAAACTTAGAATATTCATTCACTCTGTCATTGTCGATTAGCTATTTTTTACAGCTCCCATTTTAAGGCCTTTGCAGAAACTAATGGTCCACTCTGGACAGAAAAGTCAAATTGGATATAAATACACCAAACAAGTAATAGGAGAAAATGCTATTTTTAGCAGGTTTATCCAAAACATCTTCTGAATCAGCTGGCTGAAATGCTGAAAAAAGTTAATAGTGCAGAATATCCAACAAGATTTTTCCTCTGCACCTACTATACCAAAACTTGTTAACCTAGCACACAACTTTAACTAGGACTGGGGATGTAATGAACAGACTTGACAGGCTATGTGACATATAACTGACAGTCAAAAGTCAGACTGTTTGAAAAGGGAAAGCCAGCTCTGGAGCTTTATGGCATGTCTACACAGCTTTGTCTGACCAGAGGACAGAAAGTGGATTCTCATCTTGCATGACAAGATAAAGAAAATTCTCTAATTCCTGGTCCTAAATATCAGGTACTACCTCTACCATCAGTATCTCAGGGCTATCCATCTGGAATCTGAGATAATAAACTCCAGCAGAGAAAGAGCTCCCTCCTAACACACACATTTTCTAGACTCTCTTAGGCATCAATTCCACATTAAAATGCACAGTTAAAATTAACAGTTAAACACTTACCACAGTGTCAGATTGTATCCAATGTACCTCATTGCTAGAGCTGATCCTGGACTGCTGCGTTTGCAGGGCATAAGGGAAAGAGCTGACCTGAAGAACAAGGAGGTTGAACGCTTCAAGCACCTCCCTGCAATTAATAACTCTATCAGCCAGACCATGATTAGGCTCACCATGGGACAGGGAACTTGAAATGGCACTGCAGAAATAAGAATGCAAAGAATTGCCTTACAGATATCCTGAAATTCAATGGATTACTCTCTTCCTACAGAAAAAATTCTCTAAATGACCATGACACAGAGAACAAAAAAATCTCTTTGGAAAGGTAAAAGACTTCAAAAAACGTTTGGCTGTTCTCTGTGGGTAAACTCAGGAAAACAAGGGAAAACAACAAACACCTAAATAAATGATCAAAATCTGTTGACAGTGAGAAGGTGGATTAGTGTGACAATTTTAAAAAGCGTCACACAGAGGAAACCAAAAATAATCCAAAGCTGATTAAACCCCTTCATTAAGAAACACTGTTGCATGAGCTGTGGGGATAGGATATAGTAGCAATTTTATGAAATCCAGTGGCTTTTCCAGTCTGAAATAACAGATTTCTAAAAGGCTGGGGAGCCTGAAAGTCTATTGACATTCTGAGCTACTGAAATTTTCTTTACTTCCATTATATATTCAGAAATTCCAAATTCAAAGTAGAGCAAGGACAGTAAAAAAAAGTGAATGGGGAGACCAGGTAGAAATAATGTTGCTTTTGTCTCTTTTCAGCTGTCTTTCAAGGAGAGTATTTTGCTTATTATAGAACGACAGAAAGGTTTGAGTTGGAAGGGACCTTAAAGACCATCTAGTTTCAACCTCTCTGCCATGGGAAGGGACACCTTTCACTATTTCTAATATTGAAAAGAATCCCATAATCTTATATATCATGTTTAAACCACATTATTCTCCTTAGTTTGCTCATGGAACAAGAACAGAATAATCAGCTTTACTTATTTCTTTCTTTCTTCAACATGAAATTGTGATTTGGTGTAAATAAATGATTTTGCATGTGTGTACATGTTGTGTTTAGACCTAAAGCCAAATTCAATACAGCTGTTTCTTTAAATCCTTTTCTTACAGAAGCTATGGCATCTTTTTTATGATGCAGACTTAAAATGTCAGTAGGCCTTCTCATATCAAAAACAAAACTATTATCAGGGATAGAAACATGAATTAAAGCACATCCAGCTTGTGAGCATCTGATACATTTGGGTTTGAGGACAGAAAAAGAAGAGGAATAGAAAACAAAGACAAGAACAACAAAGAAATTTGCAAAATCCAGCCTTTTCCCCTAGATTTCAGCACTATAGCACACAACCCTAAAAAGAGTCCTGTTAGGCATCCAGTAATCTGAAACTAGTCCCACCTACCTTCAGCTGAATCAGAATTAGATAATAAATATCACAGGCAATCAAAAGGGATTCTGATTATAAGGCACAAAATGCCTTAAAAATGCCTAGACAAAGCAATACATGTCTAAGATGGCAAGTCTTCTGATAAACCTAATGGAAAGATGCTGGGAGAGGATGGTTTTCCTCCAGCAGACTGGAGCAGCTACCTTGTTAAATCCACGTGGGCATTGTCATGAACCAGCACAAAGAGCGTGTAGGGGTTCTGCTTCACTCGCCTCATGAAAACCTCAAATTTAGCTTGAATCTCATTGTCCAGCCGAACCACGTACTTCTCAGCTCTCTGATAGGCTGTCCCATTGTCTTCTAGGCCCAAGTCCACAAGCACACCTGTCAAAAAGGAAAATACAACAAAAATCCTTCCCTTTGAGTGCATCGAGAAATGAAGGGTCAATGGGAAGTTCCCACTTGTCCACCAAAGTACCAATAGGCCCCAGTAAGAAGACAATTATCCAAACGAGATTTCTCTCACAATGGAGGCCAAAATATGCTACTTGGCTTCTAGATTTCCTCTAAAAAGTGCCTGAAGACCTTTCAAAAACTCCTCCTATTATCAAAAAATGGGGGGGAAAACATCAGGCCAAAGCAGCACTCAGTTGCGTATGCTCTATGATCAATCCTAGGCCAAACCTGCCTACATTAAGCTAATGAATTAATATTGTTTGAGTTAGAAAAAGTCACCCTGACCTTTGCTTTGCAAATATCATTAATTTATATAAAATTGATTCTCCCTACTATCATATCATATCATATCATATCATACTTTTTATGCTCTGCTTCAATATTTGTGTCAATACAACTAGTCTTTGTAAAGATATATTGCTGCCACATTCATAAATTAGGCATGGTGTAATGTATGTGACGTTGAATGCCATTTGAATTAAAGAAGTAAACTAGTCTGACATATGGATCAATTAGGTATTTTCCAGGGTCATAATGATTTTGTAATTTTTTTTGAAGCACAATAAAACACAAGCTGTGAGGATAAAAGATATGCTGGAGCAACTTACTTTTCCCCTTATACCTGTAATGATGCAGTAACGCCACATATTGGGGTTTATCAGCCTGTTTGCCCTCCTGTGGTTGTGTTTGAGGGTCTTAGGATGAAGGAATAGATGAGAATCTTGACTTCATGTTTTAGAAGGCTTATTTATTATATAATGATATTATGTTATATTAAAATGCTGAATACTAAAACTATACGAAAAAGAATAGAGAGAAAAAGATCCATCAGAAGGCTAGAAAGAAAAGGAATGGAATGAATAACAAAATCTCATGACTGCTCATGGCCTCGGCACAGGTGGCTGTGATTGGTCATCAAGTGAAAACAATCCACAGGGACCTTATACCTGTAATGATGCAATAACACCACATACTGGGGTTTATCAGCCTGTTTGCCCTCCTGTGGTTGTGTTTGAGGGTCTTAGGATGAAGGAATAGATGAGAATCTTGACTTCATGTTTTAGAAGGCTTATTTATTATATAGGGAATAGATGAGAATCTTGCCTTCATGTTTTAGAAGGTCTATTTATTATATTATGATATGTTATATTAAAAATGCTATACTAAAACTATACGAATAAGAATAGAGAGAAAAAGATCCATCAGAAGGCTAGAAAGAAAAGGAATGGAATGAATAACAAAATCTTGTGACTGCTCATGTTCTCGACACAGGCGGCTGTGACTGGTCATCAAGTGAAAACACTTATTTATTATATAATGATATTATGTTATATTAAAATGCTGAATACTAAAACTATACGAATAAGAATAGAGAGAAAAAGATCCATCAGAAGGCTAGAAAGAAAAGGAATGGAATGAATAACAAAATCTTGTGACTGCTCATGTTCTCGACACAGGCGGCTGTGACTGGTCATCAAGTGAAAACAATCCACATGGACCAATGGAAGATGCACTTGTTGCATTCCACAGCAGCAGACAGTTATTGTTTACATTTCTTTCCTGAGGCTCCTCAGCTTCTCAGGAGAAAATCCTATCAAAGGATTTTCATAAAATATGCCATGGTGAGAGCCTCCCCTCCCTTTTACCTGATTGTCGAATCCGCTGGAGGGTCTGCTGCACCAGCACCTCCGAGCGGGGCACGATAACGATGAAGTCCACCTTGCTGAAGTGGCCCAGATCCAGGCTCTGATTGCCACTGTCCGCTATAGCACAAACCTGGGACAAGAGCTTTCTGGCAACTGTGAGCTGTGGCTGGTAAATTTGGAAGGTATCAACATCCAAATCTAGAGTGTGTTTGTTTGAAAAAGAAAACAAAACACAGCAAGAAACATGTTTACTTTCCCACCCCCCCAGCAAAATGTGACCCTCCAAACAGCCTACCCTCTACCATCAGGGAAAAAAAATCACTCACCAGAATAAATCTCAACTCTCTGGAAAGTTTGGTTCAGATCACAAATGCCAACTTTGTTTCTTTGATAAAAATGTGGTAATATATCAGATGACCTCAAGTACAGCACTGCCCATTTTTTAAAATGCCTGAAGCACTTTTAAGGATTTCTAACAGTGTGACCCAATGAAACCTCAATGCCAACACAATGAAATGCATTCTGTTAAATGAACCAACACATACATAATATGCATGCACATACTTAGACAAAAATAAATTTGTGCATGTGTACATATAATAAAAAGCAGAAGAGAGAGGTACAAAGCTCTAATGTTCTCCTGAAACTCAGATCTGTTTGGATTTAATGTAAGTCAATATCACAGGCAGAGAACTGACAGACTGACCAGAGCACTCATGTTTCCTCAAAATAAAAAGCATGTTCCATTTCAGTATTTCCGTTAGGTAAATTCTATGTCTAACAATGCATGCTTCATTAACCACTTTTCAATTTGCAGATTACCAGATTAAATCCTATAATGGTATTACAGTTTTTTGTTTATGCCACTTTTTCTACTGTGTTGGTTTTACATAGGGATGTGTTTTCATGTGTGCATGTGCACGTGATTATCTCCTGTTCAAATATGCCTTTAATGTCCATTTCAGCAGATCTGCTATGGAAGAAATGTCCCTCTCACTGCCTAGGAGACTTACTTCTTTTTTTATTTTTATTCAAGCAGCTTTATTTATTTTTATACAGGCTTCAACCACTGTACAGCCATACGTTAAGAACAAAACCAATGCAGAACAATTGTTTGAGAAAATATGAAGCTTTTAAAAAACCTACACAGTAAGAAAAAAAAAACAAAACAAGAGAATCTAAAGATCTTTCTCCCTTCAAATTAATCCTCTGTGAAAGCTCAAGACTTGTGAGGGTGCCAGAACAAAGTGCCTGGCAGCCCTTCTAATTGGATCTCCTGATCCACGTGAAGACAATAAGACACTTTGCTTTCACTCAGATTTAACACCAAATAAGTACATTTAACTAATATGAACCAAGAGCATACCTTTCTTTCACAGAAAAAAGCTTTACTGGAGGTTGAATTTGCTTTGATACTGGACCTGAAAGAATCTCAGTGTTCACAACAGCTCAGTGTATCTTTTGTCAGTATTGTGATATGAAAAGGAAAGTATGTTTAAAACTCCGAATAGCTAAGTAATTCTGAAAATTAGCAATTTTAGACAGGAAATCCCAGCTTACCTTTTGCACTTAAGCATCTTATCACATTATGCTGAATAAGACATGTCTCAGATCAACAAATTACAGATCACACTTGCCTAGCACTTTCAGTCCAAGATCTTAAAACACGTTCCCTAAAAGTTTAAGCCTCAGAGCACAAGTCCCTAATGCATATTACCAGGCAGGAGGACACCTGAGGAGATCAGAAGGAGAACACAATTCCCCTTTGCCTTAAACTCAAGGTTACATTCCTTTTCTCTTTGCAAAAAGATGAGATGAATCCACTCTGCCAGTGTTACAAAGAAACATCTTCTCTACTCTGCCTGACACCTAGCAGAAGATAACATGTTTTACCTTAGAGAATATAAAAACATCAGGGGAAAAAATTGCTGAAGTTTATTACAGAGATTTTCTGTCTGAGCAACTGCTGTATTGCTACATTTAGCTGCCAGTATTAGTATTTTAAGGTTGGCACACTGACTGCAATGCGCCCTCAGATTCTCCTAAGGTGTATGCATTTTGATGTTTAACAAGCTACTCACTTATTTCATAACTTGCACGTAAAAAAAATTACCTGGTTCTTGTGTAGAAACCATGGCAATTGCCTCCTGAGATGACACACACTCACTAACATCTCCATTAAAAGGAATAATGACACTTTCCCCTCGCTGCTGTAGCATCTTCTCCAGCAGCTTGTCCAAATCATCACCTAGATCAGAATTAGCAACACCAGATTATCTGGAAACCATTTCAGAGGAACATCATTGAACATTACACACACCCATGTTCTCACACAGCTGGTGTCAAATCTGCACTCGGGCAAGGGACTGGGGACATAGGAAAGAGAGGGAGGGAGAATACTTTTTTATCTACTGATTTACCAGTTGGATTATTTTTTTTTAAAAAAAGGAGATACAGTTGTATAAGTTTAGGTCTGTGGCTTTACAGCTACTGGTGACATCTGATGATTACTAAGAAATACACACTATAAAACAACCTCTAAAACCTTGCTAAAAGCATAAACTAGAAAACACTTGTGTACTTATGGGTGCACTATATACCCTGCCGTTACATTCAACAGCTGAGACAGTGTTAAAAATGTTTTGCCAGAGGGTTATGAACTGCCACCACACAGGTGAAGGAGTCTTTTACACACAAGGAAGAGAGAAGAACAGAATGTCTCTCAATGGAGAGAGGAGGGGGGGAAAATACTTATTTATCTACTGATTTACCAGTTGGATTAAATTTTTTTAAAAAAAGGAGATACAGCTGTATAAGTTTAGGTCTGTGGCTTTACAGCTACTGGTGACATCTGATGATTACTAAGAAATACACACTATAAAACAACCTCTAAAACCTTGCTAAAAGCATAAACTAGAAAACACTTGTGTACTTATGGGTGCACTATATACCCTGCCGTTACATTCAACAGCTGAGACAGTGTTAAAAGTGTTTTGCCAGAGGGTTATGAACTGCCACCACACAGGTGAATGAGTCTTTTACACACAAGGAAGAGAGAAGAACAGAATGTCTCTCAATGGAGAGAGCAGAGCTGTATCCACGTGTATTTTAACTGCTGAACAGCAGACACATCAACCCTAAAGAAAAGACTGCTTTGGCTAGGACTTCTGTTTCTTAGAATCACTCACCTAAAGATGTATTTTTGAAATGTGATGCCAGGAAACTAACTTTCCCTGTGATGAGCTCATAACTGATCTCTTTTAAAAATTCACTGGTGGTAAGCATGCTCTCTGCAAGCGCCCGAGATTGATACTGACCTGGAGAAGAGAGGGGAAAAGAGTGAGAGCAAACCTTATTACAGTTTACTGTCAACACAACCTCCTCATCCTAGAAGTCTGGAGCACTCTGATCTTCAGCCACGGATCTCCACTGCCTTTACCCAGTAGACTGGGAGAGCAGTCTCAAGTCTACTTCATTAATGACTGGAGAATTAGTTGATATAACTAATTTTAGCAGGTTCTTTGCGATTGCACATCATTTTGCAAACTTGTATGACAAAATAAGTATTTGCACCTTAGACAAAATGGAGGATTCTGGATAAATATGAAAAAAGTCACTCTCCCTAGTGTGGGAAGAAAAAAAAGTAAAAAAAAGTTTTAAATGGCATTACTGATTGTTCTGCCTACAAAGCAAAGATGACTAGTCAAAGTTCATTTCCATCCAGACACACTCATTCACACACAGACAGCACACCCAGTCATCAGTGCAGAATAAAAAGGACAGAAATAAGGACAAAAAGGATGAAAAGCACATTCTGTTTTAAGCAGACTGCAGAAGACCCTGCCATGTAAAATATCACAGTTGTTCCATGAAACAAAGACAAATCATCTATTTTACCACTGGGTCATTTCAAGATATTTTCTCAGGCATTCACACAAACAGTAAAGTCTCAGGCCTCTCAAGAAGTAGTAATAGCATAAAGATATTTTTCTATATCTCCTCATGGACTTCAGTACTCCAAGTCTTGCTAAAGATACAGTAAACTGTGACAAGTGACATTGCAGTGCAACAATACAAAGGAGAATAGAGAGAACAAAAGGGATTTAAAACCAGATCAATAACTCAAGAAAATTAATTTGGCATTGCCATTTGAAGCAGTCTGCAAATATACTCACCTAGAACCACTACACAGAATTCATTTCCTCTAATCTTTGATGCACAAATGGCAACTACATAATCTGGTAGCTTTTGCTGATGTTTCATTTCATTGAGAGACCTCAAGGTCTCCGAGATGCCCTCTGCCAGGGAATTCTGGGTGACAACCACGTGCACGAGGTCCCGAGACACACTGGCAATTAACCTGGCAAGCCAAGGGAGTTGACCTGGTGACACAGAGATACACTGTGCACTCATTTGCAAGGATCTCTCCCTCAGAGTGAACTCCTGCATAGCTTTCAACATGATCTGCTCAAATTCTTCCCTCAGGGGTATCTGGTCAGGTCCTACAATGGAAACAAACAGATAGAAGAACAGTGTCTCATATAAAAATGTAATTGAATCAGGAATAATTACGTCTGTCTTGATCTGACAAGCTCTTTCATCATATTTTTTATATTAAAAAAAAAAACACTTGCTACTCAGTGGATATCTACCCACACGGTTTATTCTTGTTTTTTGGTTGGTTTTTTTTTTATTTTAGAAGCATTTCTCTTCCACCACCACCTTTTTTTTTTTCTGTCTTCCAAACAATGAGGTATTCCACCTCACTCCTAGCTTCAGCAATGGGTAGGACAAACAAGGGAGTGGGAAAATATGTGCCTTTTGCCTGGAAGAGAAGGATTAAGCATGCAGCCATATGTTTTTGCAGCAGAAAACAAAAATGCTTATCCTCGTAGCCTAATCACAGCCATGCAGCCTGACGAAGCCTGTTAAGTGCTCTTTGCTTTGCTTTTTCTCATCTTGCATAGTAATCAACTAAGCATGGATGCAAATAAACATGTTTAACCTCTTCCTTAGCTTAATTAAATTAATTTAGCAAAAATGGGAGCACCTAAACTAAAGAAGAATATGCAACTTTAAATCTACATTCCCCAGACTCTGTCAACTGCACTGTCAACTTGAACTGGAAAACAGAAATATAAGCCATCCTATCTTGGTATCAGTCCTCCAACTGAACTTCAATGAACATTCTGTTCAGTTAGCTTTTTCTCATTGTCAAAGATATTCAGGAACAGTTAAAAACATTCATGAACACAGAGTAAAAAGTAACCATGGCTTATATTGCCAAGATTTCATATCAATGCTAAAGGAGGCAGCTTCACACTTCAGGAGCTTCTTTTCTATGACTAAACAGAGGGGGGCTTAAATATCAGAGAGATGTGAAGTACTGGGTTTGGTTTTATGTTTTCTTTCAGGCCAGGAAACAGAAAGGCTGTGTGAGAAACAGGGTGTGGGTAAATAACCCACAGCACAGAATCTGTAAAAACTGCCACCTGTTGTCATTTTTGCCTTTTTGAGAAGTAACATGTGGAAAATGCCACCATGCAATTACCATAGGATGGTAAAACAATTATAAACTTGTAAGTGCAATGCTGTTTTCATTTTTGATGCAAATTGAAAAATTCTGAAGAGTACAATTTAACACAGCATGGACATAATTCTCTCTTTTAGGGTTCTCTTTTGGAAATTGATTTTTTTTTTCCTTCTAAGAAAGCATCACATATTCTAGGTCCTTGAAGACCTCAAAATTAAAAAAATAAAACCAACTAGACATATATCAGTAGAGAAGAATGTTCCTCTGCAGAAATAAAATAACAGATGAAAATGATGCTACCCACTAACAGAAATTAAAGCAAGCTTTTGCTGATTGAGGGAGGCTACTTAAGAGACAGGCTCTAAACACAAGGATCATCATCATGAATCCAAGAAGATTAAAATAATGGTACAAATGGAACAGCGGATTCTAAGTATGAGAATACACAGAATTTCACTCAGATTACCTATAAGAAAGTATGACAGTCTTTCTGCACAACTGTCCAGAAAAATAATGGAACTAATATCAGATGAGATGTAAGACAAAATGATAGATATTGATTTTGATTGTGAATAGTTTCTTTAAAAAAATATCGATGCTAAAAGGAAATATATAGAAGCTTCTCTGCAGAAATGAGCACGTAAATGATCATCTTGATTTCAAAAACAAAACAGCAAAATAAACAATATAATAAAATATTAATATCTGAGTTACATTCAGCCACAAGTGGTGCTCCCCAGGGCTCAGTGTTTGGGCCAGTCTGTTTAATATCTATATTGATGGTATGGACAAGGGCATTGAGTGAGATTGGCTCAGTTGGTCAGACACAGTGCTAATAATGCCAAGGTAGTAGGTTCAAACTCTGTATGGGCCATTCCCTTAAGAGTTGGACTTGATGATCCTTATGGGTCCCTTCCAACTCACAATATTCAGTCATTCTGTATGAGAGCACCCTCAGGCAGCTTGCAGGTGACAGAGGGCAGGAAGGCTCTGCAGAGGGATCTGGACAGGATGGATCAATGGACTGAGGACAGTGGTTTAAGGTTCAACAAAATAAAGTGCCATGTCCTGTCCTTGGGTCACAACAACCCCCAGCAGTGCAACAGGCTTGGGAAGAGTGGCTGGAAAGCTGCCCAGTGGAGAAACACCTGGGGGTGTTGGTTGATGGCTGGCTGAACATGAGCCAGCACATATATGCCCAGGTGGCCAGGAAGGACAATGCTTGACTTGCACCAGAAATAATGTGCGGGGCAGGATCATCCCCCTGTACTCAGCACTGGTGAAGCCACACCTTGAGTCCTGTGTACAGTTCAGGGCCCCTCACTACAGGAAGGATGTTGAGGTGTCCAGAGAAGGCCAGCAGAGCGGATGAGCACAAGTTCTGTGGGAAATGGGAACTGGGGTTGTTTAGCCTGGAGAAAAAGAGGGCCAGGAGGACCTCATTGCTCTCTACCATCACCTGATAGGAGACTGTAGCCAGGTGGGGATTGGTCTCTTCTCTCACGTAACAAGTGACAGGACAGATGGAAACAGCCTCAAGTTGTGCCAGGGGAAGTTTAGATTGGACATTAGGATACATTTCTTCACTGAAAGGGTGGTATAGGCTGCCCAGGGAAGTGGTGTATTCAGCATCCCTGAAGGCATTTAAAAGACACATGGATGTGGCAGTTGAGGACAGGATTTAGTGGTGAACCTGGCAGTGCTGGGTTAATGATCTTAAAGGCTTTTTTTCAACCTAAATGATTTTTCCAACCTAAATGCTGCTGTGATTCTATTCTATTATTCTATACAGTTTAAGTCAACATATTCAAATGTCATCCATTTCTGGATGACACTCATTTCTGGGTAGACAAACTTCAGGATACATCCCACAGAGACTATTTCTCCAACCACCTAAGACAGGAGAGTTGCTGGAATAAGCTCTTGCTTTTAGTTTCTGACTATCCCTTCCACTCAAAGCAAAGCCCTGCAAGAGCCTTGAGTCTGGATGTGCATTTGGACATTAAAACTACAAAACACCTCTGGGTGTCACAGCGTACAAAATCTAGAGTCAAAATGACTCAAATGCACCACAAGAGAGAAAGGAGAATTATTTCAGAATCCTAAAAAGGAGGTATAACAAAGGGTTCAGAAATCTTTTTCAACCAGAACACAGACCACCTTAGCACTGCATAGGCTGAGATTGTGTTTGTAGAAATGGCAGCACAAGAGTAAAAAGCTGATGATTACAGATGATGGAATGTAACCCATACTGCAAACACAGGCATTCTGATGTATAAAAACAAAGCTTGAGAATACTTCACCATGAATGCTGCCAAAGATAACAAATGTGAAATCCAAATAAGTCCCAGAGGTAGACCAAAAAAAAAAAAAACCACTAAAATCAAACACACTTCTTTATCTTTTTTTACTTATTCCTTTACCACAGCCAGTAGACTTTATTTACAGCCCTGCTACCACTCACAATCACAGGTTTAACTATGTATAGTCTTCAAAGAAGGTTTAAAGCATCAGAAATGCATTTTGGTTTTTTATTTTTACTTTGATTTGTAATATCATCACGAGCTGCTCAGCTGATTTCGGAAAACACAACAGCATCATCCTACAATTAATGTTGTCATAATTTCACAAGAACACCAACAGGAATTCTCAGCTATATCCTTTTTTTTTCCAAAGAAGGAGTACTTCCATAGATAATAGTCTTATCATCCGTGATCACAGTCATCTGTAAATATATTTTATACAAGTAGTGAGATCTGAAAAAAATTAGGCAAGACTCTCTTTCGTGCTTTTGCCTGCTTTTTTATCTTTGCCTTTATCTTACTCTTTCGCAATATACTCTGGAGAAAAGAAAAACATTTTAGTCCTAATTTCTCAATAAAAAAAGAGGTTTACATGAATAAATTGTTAATTTATATGTGCATTTGTCTCTTCCTGTCAAAAACTTTTGAATCTGGCCGCCCACCAATCTTCTCTAATCTGCTTTGATTTAACAACATGGGACAAAGGCTACATTTCAGTGCAGCTGTCACAATTCCAACAGTTTTAAGTTTACAGCAATATTCAAACCAGCAACATGTTTTTATCCCCTCCTCTACAGAATGTTTTTACTTTTCTCCTCATTAGGCTCTTTCATCTTACAGTACTGGCACACGTCTCCACATAAGGTCAAACAGCGAACTATTCAGCTTTGCCCAGCTAAGAACAAAAGCCAAACTAAACACCTGCCAATAAGAGAACTCCTTTATGCTGAAGTCACGGTGCTCAATGAACACAGCTCTGCTACAGAAGCTTTGCATGAAGCCTCCTCTAGTTTGCAGCAAGTATAGACTTGATGCATCCATCTAAAGTTAGACTTACTCATGGAGCATGATTCACTGACTCACAAGTTTCAACAAATAGTTTATTTTTAACTGGAAAGGCTCTTATCAGCTGGCTACAAATTTGCAAGCTGCCTCTATCAACCCAGAACTGCGTGAAGCAGCTGTTTTTAACATACACACACTCTACAAACTTTCCAATAAAAAACCTCAAATAAGAAATTTAGGCCCACTGAAAGAAGGTAACAGAAAAACATGCTGTAAAAAATTAAGAAACACTTTGTCAGTTCTAACATGGCATCCAATGGACTAGTGAGGCAGAGAATGATAAACAAAGCTAACAGGTCACTTAGAGAGAATTACAACATGGAAAATGGTTTCCTTCCTGTCTCTTACAGAACTGCAGAGAAGTACAAGCACTCATGGGTGAAACCTGCATGTTTGGTCTCCACATTGTAAGGTTATCAGCAGTTGTGCTGCTTTTGGAACATCTTCATATTTCATACCATTACATATTACAGATGCACTGCGCTCTTCACAAAAGTAACTTCACACTCCCCTATGATAATTGGCATCTTTTCAAATACAAAAGTTAGGGTAAGACTATCATAGAAGTTTCCCAACCCTATCCTGCATTTTTTGACTTCTAAAACCTTGTTGCTACCATTTCCCTTTTTATTCTAAGGTACGGAAAAATGACTGGACCTGCAATGAGATAAAAAAGGTGGCTTGCTGGTTTGCTCTCAAACTTGCAAAAAGTCCATTTCAAAAACATTTACAAGAATGAGATATTCACTGAATCACTTGCCTGAGTCTGAATAACAAATGTGGTTTTCATGTAAACAGTGCTGTCACCAAAACAATGACAACCATCACACATCTGCCAGCATTTGTCACAAAACTGAATAAAACAGACCAAGTGTCCTTAGAAAGGGCTGTGATAACTGATGGTTTGATGCCCTAAGAAAATGAGTTATCTGCATTGCAAATCCATTTCACAAAGGTGACCTGGTCAATCCCCATATGGAGAGTAGAAGCAGTATCAGCCTTTAAATTCACTTCTTCTCGTTCAGGAACAAAGTGACAAAGTCACACACACTAGATGGAGCCACTTGCCTCTTCCAGCCACAAAAGCAGCCAGAAAACTGGCCCTAAAGGGACATAAAGAAGGTATGAAGAAAAAAAGGACAGTCTCAAATTAAAATCAAGTACTTATGACAAATTGCTTACCTAGTTGGACAAGATACTGAATAGTTAAAAGTATCATATTCTCCACACTTAGCAGCTGACTGCTGGACAAACCCAAGAGATCCAAATCCTTGTTTTCCAGCTGTGGAATCTTGTAGCAGTTCACCAGCAAGGGACTTACAACAATATCACCAACATTTCCATAGAAATAAGGTAAAGTGCCATAGCCTATGATAAAAGAAACAAAACCCCCCAAAAAATTAATAAAATTTGCTATTACATGAAATCTTGCACAATAATACATTTCCGAACATCTTCTTAAAGCTGTCTGGCAAAATACATTGCATCAATGACTGTTCTTGGCATTATAATAGCTTTAAAAAAATAATTATAGGCCAGGGATCCTCTGCTGTGTTTTACAACAAGTGATCACATATATTTGCAAGAACAAACATTAACTGCATGATATCTAGCAGGGTAATAATTATTGTTATCCAAATACAGATGAGAATATTATCTGTTTGGGTCTTACCCTGACCTTTAAATACAGATTCTCCATAATATAGCGTACAAAGAAGAAAAATCAATGAAAGAAAAGGTACATTGATCTTAACATTATAAAAGCAGCATAAGTCACATTAGCATTGATTCAGCCACTGTGGTATTGCTGTGATTGATTTCACTTTTTTTGCCACCTTCCCATTCTGTTTTCATAAACAGGTAAAATAAACACTGACAACTAAACATGCTGTTCTGTAAGGTAAAGCACATGAGCACAGGCTAACTCCTTTTCCTTCAGAATGTTTTTCGTTTCAAAAGAAGCATTTCCACAGAGATTTTGCCAAATCCATCCTTTTGGGTACATCTGGTTCTGTGCTATTAATAGGACGCTGTTTCTCAGGGCCACTAACATTTAGCCTAACTCAGGACTTAATGGCAGCTCTCCAAGAGCCTAAGGGCTGCATTCAATTTGCACTTAAGCTGATGGCTGTAGGCACCCTCATCTTTAATAAGGAAGTGTTTCTCTGAAAACCATTAGAACACCACGCTAGAGCTTTATAATCGGCTTCCAGAAAACAACGCTAAGCAAAACAAACCAGAAGCGTAACCCTATCCTTGACAGATTTACTGGTGTGGATGGCCCTGTTAATTCTCCAGGAGCTGCGTGTATTAAAATTATCTGTGCAAGTGAGGACTTGGAGAACTTCTCCATTCCTTCTCCTAAATTACTCCACAGACTGTATTGACAGGCATGCTCTGTTGGCACTGAAGCTACTTTATGTGACCATCTATTGGACCTAAAAGAAATTTACAGTGAAAAAAGAAATCACTCATCATAATTTTGGCAGCTCTAGCTGACCCATCTTTTTTAACTATTATGCCCAAATTGCTCAGGTTGAAAGGCATATTCACATTTAAAGCCATACTCTTAAAGCAACGTCTTTCTAAGGGTTAACAAAGTACTTTATACAGCTAAAGGATTTTAAAAGCCTGAAGCCTGATCTGTTATCTCAATTGCTTACAAGAACTATGAACTATAAATGACAAAAAGTTAGTATGATTTACTTCTGTTTAGTCAGTGCAAATCAATTTTCTGGTTCTCACGTAGAATTCTGGGGCTTCAAGATGTGAACTATAAATGCTGCAGGAAATATTTGCTTGGTTTATAAGTTGTTTATACCGGAAAGCTATTTTCATTACTTGGAAATAGTTCTCTTCTTGGGTTTTACAAAAATCTTATTTGTATAAAACTTAGATTTGGCCAGCAGTTCTGCATAAATTTGACCTAGTGGTGACCTGTTTGCAAATCAGGTTCTCCAGAAATCACCTGACTCTCAGTTTTACATATTGAGCAACCAAAGGAAACTATCTGTGACAAACCAACTTTGTATTGTACTGAATGCCAGAACCAACAAAAAGAAATAAGCCCAAAATGCAGCATTTGATTCCCCAGTGTAAGACTTACCTATCAGAATCACTGGTCTGACTCCTGAGTTATTCAGCAGGTTTTCAGGAACTATTACAGTCTCCCCTGCTGGGATGGGTTGAGGCTGTAAAATTCCAGTTAACATGGATTGAGGAACTGGGACTGACAAAAGAGGCTCTATAAAATAAAGAAAAGAGAGACTTCCATTACTAAAAGGCTCATACTGTGATTTGGCCTTATGAACAAATAAGAAAAAAATTACTGCAAATCACTAACTGTAATAAAATTCAAAAGGTCTCTGCATTTCCTGCTATAGTTTTAAGTAATTTAAATGAAGAGCCTATATCCTCCTGTAGCCCCAACCCTAAAATAAAACTTTTTCTGACCACTGTATTGTTGGTGAGAATGAGAGAGCAAAACACAGCTTTGAATATGCATCTTTAAACAAAGCCAAGTACTAAGCCAAAAGGCCACCCCCCAATACTGCCTCTCAACACAAGGGAAGAAACTGCTTCAAATTCTCACCTAGAATGTATGTAGATAAGAAAAATAAAAGCAGGCCAAAATCTCAAAGCTGCCCTTAGATAGTTGCCACAAGGATAAAAATCAGGCTTTACTCATGAAAGAGCAACAGCAGCTTTCATAAGTGAAAGAAACCAAGTGCAAGAATTTTGTAACCTGTAATCAGGTTTCAGAGTAAGGCCTGCTTCACAAGTTTCTTAGGCTTCATTTGGTGGTTTGCAACAACTTTTTCAAACCATGCCATCAATAGAAATCATCAAAGTCAGGATGAATGAATGCATATGTTTTACCAGGGGAAACTGTTTATCCAACAGAAAAATGTACTACTAAAGACTCATAGAAACTGGAGTACACAACAGAGGTAGGAGATTAGTAGAGACAAACTCAACAGAGGAGACTGCCTTATATATCATGTCTCTTCAGCAGGTTTCTGAAGATAGAAACAGACAAAAGCTGCAGTTTGAGGTGCTCAGAAAAGCAGGCCTGACTACCATGTAATCCTTCCTCCTATTATGAATATATCTGAAAATAATTCAAAATATCTTAAAACCTAGTCTTCAAGAGCAGAGTTAAAAACACATTGTGCATATTGATGAATGGCTTTTTTCATTCCTTGGATGCTTATTCTCTCACTCTATAGAGAGAAGAATAAATAACTCGTTATTCCCCTTCAGAAAATATGCTAAATCTCACAATTGAAAAGTACTCAAATAGTGAACAGTTTTATTAACAGTTATGAATAAAAAGTTATCTACATGGATATCAATGAGTACTTGTAATTAATTCTATGTCATGTAATGACATTAAACTCCTACAGCTTTTTCATGCACAACTAACATTTGGCCTCACTTTCTGCTTTTAACTAAAGATCACCTAGTGTATCAGTATCAGTGTCCTTTATTAGGCCAAAATTATATAAAGCTGGTTTTCCCATGCAGAAACAGAGTGTACAGGTTCTGTAGCATCCCACACCAGACTGAGACACAACAGTCAAGGTGAAGGCTAATGAAAAATCCTTGAAATATATTCATATATCCATACACCTGCACAATTTTAGAACAACTGAGTTACAGTTGGGTAAACCATGGATTTCTTTTAGCTTTATATTTTTAATATTATTTAACACTTCTTCTCCTCTCTCCCCACCAGCAATTTTACTTCCCCTGTGTTGCAGCTTAGATTACAACAACCAGGACCAAGCAATCATACGTGCTTTTTTGAGGGCATTGTGTGCTTAAATATTCTGTGGTGTGCTTGAATACTTTGACAAAATCAGTTATGTTTGCTGAGGAACATGTGAGAGGTACAGCACAAGGTCGCTGGGCTGGCCGAGTTCATGTTTTAACAAATGAAATCTCGGTGTCATTCAAGTTGTACCTGTTCTTGTCGAAGGCCGGATTGTAGGAACAGGTACTGCTAAACCAGGAGGCGGGACTGGGGACCCAGGAGACCATCCTCGGTGACGTTTCTTTGGTGGTCCAGAACTGGACATAGATGCTGGAAGGAAAGCAAAAACTAATTCTAAACCCTGTCCTCCCAGATGACCAAATTCCAGCCTACACTCCATTTCACACCGGTGTTGAGTGGGTATCACATCGCAGAGCACCAGAGGCTCATACATAGATTTACATAAAACCAGATTATGATGTGAAAAACATTGTTACCCGTGTTAAAATGTCCAGCATTATCATTAATGGTCATGCCAAAAAGCAAACGGATCTGTGAAAACTGAACTGTAGGAACAGCTACAATCGGAAGAAGAGCAAAATCACAAATTTCAAACTCACCATCCAACACAGCTTAGAATAAAAAAACAGAAAGGTTTTCTTTACCTTGATCTCCAGCTGCACAGCCAGGACTTGGGGATGTTGAGTGAGGCATTGGCCGAGAGACTGTAGTACTCAATGCATTATTTCTTCCTCCATTAGCGTTTCCATTAGCAACATCCGTGGCACGCAGTGAAAGAGGAGCTGAATATAATAAAATACAGAGTGTGTGGCTTGAGACAATCTCGAAAACAAACAAATAAAATAATACAGCCACACGCTGATGCAAAAGACCAGAGAAAGATGCCTGACAAAAAAAAACATACTCCAGGCAAAGCATGAAATGTACTCAGCAGAGAAACAGATTGCAAAATCCAAGCCTTGAAAAGGGGTGTCCAGATTTCAAGGTGAGGAGGGATAGGTGGAAGAAAAAATGCAAAGAAAGCCCCACCAAAATACAATAAAAAATTACACACACACAAAATTATTGCCAAGTTTGTGAGATATTTTCTTACACCGTGAAATTATTTTTAAATATACATCTTTAATTCAGTTTGTAAGGATTTCTAAGCTACTTGGGTGTATCTACATAATTTTCCCCCAGTCACCCACATGCTATGCACAGTAATTCACTACAGGGCTTTCATCTAAAGCCTTAGCAAAGGACACTGGGCAGGGGAAGACAGGGAAGTTGGCTGCAAAGTGTACATGGCCTGAGCATTACCGAGGCAAACCATGTTTGATTTTGCTATTTCTGCCTCAGGTGATCCTCCAGTCCCAGCAAGCCTGACACTCCAGCAGGACCTGCTATATCCAGGCCACAAAATTAAACTACAACAACTGATGATCACCAGAAGTTACCATCACTCATCTGAGCTCATTGTCATTCTTTTTCAGAACATTTTTTGCAGAAGAAAAAAAAAATGGCATAAACTGCCAACATGGAGACCAGTGGAAACTCCAGTTCCTTGCTGATATTGGCCAGCTTCACAGGGATTTAGCTCCCAAGAACATATTCCAGGAGCAACACCAGGAGATGGTGCAGCAGCTTGCTGATAGCAGCTGCAACTGGAAGTGTTACAGATGTGGGTATGTAGCTTAAAACAATGCAACTCCCCAGCTGCAGACATCCAAACAAATTCTGGCACAATTTTGAATTACAAAATCTGAATAACCTCACTTGCCCATTGTAAGCTCCCCATTTCTACTCTGAGTCAACAATTTTGTACGAGCAGATATGGTGGACATAGGTCAGTTACAGAAGCAATTGAAAAGCTGGGAAGAAACTTCAATGCAAAATAAAAATCACACAAGTATGGAGGGAGAAAAGTATTTGGCACAAAGAACTGTTAATGATTTATTAGATATAACATAATTGTATTATGTACCATAACTGTATATATAGTAATAAATAGCAGATGTAATGCATTATGTATAAAGTGTAATGCTCATGTGCATACATAAACCAAATAAATGGATACATTTTCTTATTCAAACATACTGTCCTGCAATAAGTGTGATGATTTCTTTTATCTATTGTTTAAAGACTAACCTGAAGCTAAAGTAAAACATAATCAGATTATCCCAGACTGTCAGTGTAGGACTCGGATGTCACAGTTGAGGGTTACAATTTATTAAACACACAATACAGAAAGAAGCAATTAAAACAGCAGATATATTATACCTCCTTAAAATGAGACTAAATTCCACCAAATGTATGTTGAGGAACTATAATTGTCAGAAATGCAGAACTGCACACAACTCTCAATTACTGAGGCAGGAATCAGTGTGATAACAAGAGGTGACATTTATGCTCTCTTACAGTTGGGAAGTGCAGAGAGAGGTATCACTGCACTCCTACCAGGATGTTAAATCTGAAAGCCAAGGCATGGCTGAAGCTTGGGGACAGTATTAACTGCAAAAATTTCTGTGCCAAAGACTGCAAGAATATGACAGTTCTGGAGAACGCTAGTGAATGTTTTCCTTTCCCTTTTCCACCAAAAAAAAATATAACACTCTCTTTTCTTGGCTGTTAAGCTGATGATTCCCTTGGCTCCCAGGAGTTTCAGAAAGCAAAGCCATACCTGCAGCAAATGCCTTTCCTACGAGCTGTACTGACAGAGCCAGAGGTTTCACAATATTCTTGTTCCGGGATGGGTCCTGTGCTCCACTTAAGTTAACAGCAGAAGATGATGATTTTGCTGGACTGAACACTGAAGAATCTGAGAATAGAAGTTGTTTAATTGATGATTAAAATTTACATATATACATCTATATAATTTTTATTACATACACATTTATCAAAACTAATCTCTGCATAAATTGCAAACAATTTTTTTACACTCCTAAGAAATTACCATGTATCTTTCAGAAGTTTTAACAATCATTTAACTGGGCATTTCTGTAGAATCTTATAATCCACTGAACCCATGAGTGATCTCCTCCACAATATTTTTCACTCACACACACTCAAAAAATATTTTAACTGTAGAAAGGGTTATCTCATTGCTCCTCAAAATAGTCTCATGGGGTAGGCAAATAAATGCAGTTATCTCATGATTCACATGAGAAAGCTAAGACCAAGAGCTTATGGAACTTGCAGCCAGCAAGCATAGGGAATAAGCACTGGAATAACTTACCTAAAACAGGTTGTGGAATCTCCATCACCTGAGATTTTCAATTGAATCTCTGTCAGACACAGCTAAGCTTCACTAAGGGCAGAAAAAAACCAAACCCAAAACCACAGCCTCCTTATAGCACTACTGTCTATAAAACTATGAAAAGCATATGCCCATTTATAAATCTGGGTAAAAAATTAAGAAGATTTGAGCCCAAACTCTTTGCATGAACTAACAAACTTTGTAGAGCACTTTACCAAGGCTAAAACTTATAAATCTTTCTATTTTATAGAAGGATAACCTGAAGAACAAACAAGTTTTTATATTTGCCCAGTATAAAACTGATTCCAACCTCTCAGCATGTAAGTCCTTTTAATATTAGGCATTTCATAGTTGCAATTTACTTCAAGAAAAAATTGGCATTGGGATGCTGATACACTGGCAAATCCAAATTCTTATAACCAGAGTGAAAGAATATTAACTGTCAGTCCAGCAAGTAGTTTGCAGCAAGTAGGCAAAGGAGGCTAAGTTCACCTACAGATGTCCTAGTAAAACAGCCAGCTAAAGAAAACGGAGACAAAGACCAACTTGATCTGCCAAACACATTCACGCTGAGGCCACACACCATTTGGTGAAGGAGGGTGGGAGGAAGCTCTTCTTTGCCAGACCGAGTAACTGACATGAAGAACAAACACAGAAGCCTCTGCTGCTGCTGCTGCCCCACCAGAAAATCTTGTCCAGGTTCAGAGGAAATATGCTGAATGGGTAACAAAATAGACCACCAGGTCTGGGCCCTTGGAGGGAGACACTGGTCTGCCATTAAATATGATGTAGCAAATATGTAGTGTTAAAGTTTCTTTAAAGTAAACTGTCCAGAATGCTTTGGGGTTTTTTTCCCCCCATCGCTAGTTGTAATACATTTTCTTGAAATTTTATCTGTAAATGTGGATGTGGCTGGTATATGTCTAAACACCACTCTGTTACCTAAGCAGGACTCACAGTTATTAAAATACCAGTTATCAAAACTCTTCATCTTTCTCTTGTAAAGCCTTGCTTCTAGTTCCTTAACACATGAATTGAATTTTCCCCTCCAGTGTCTGCCCAAAATCATATTTTTGATACTGTATGTCCATAAGTACCTACACTTATCTTACAGAACTCAGAGACTGAACTGCTCACCAGAAATATTTACACAATACAAGAAAAAAGGGGATATAAGTTGATGTTGAGCTGAAAACAATTTCAGAAAACAACCTGCTAATAAGCAGTCCTGTTTAAGAACAACCTAGAAGCAAACTCCAGTAGAAAGAGCTATGCAGAATCTAGGAGAGAAAAAGCCAGAAAAGCCCTCCATCATAGGGGACACGTCAGAATTTATGCCACTGAATAAAAGGTGCTCTCCCCCCTTCTCCCAGTCACAGGGGATTCATGTGTATGTATGTGGCATTATCTTCACTAGGAGATAACAGCAGAAGGAGATGAAAAGGTTTGGAGGAGCATGACCTGGGAGTACAAACAGTGACACACAGAAACACCAAGCAGGCTGAAAATGGCAGGGAGTGATAAGGAGAAAGCCATATATAAAAGGTGTATCTATTAACTTGGCAGATACAATAGAAGACAAAGCTGTGTAAATATTAGAATTCTTGTTGCTCCAAATAAACAGGTTCTCATGCATCTGCACAGTTCTCATGCCTGGATCTGGAAGCCAAGGGATCATGCAATGAAATGAAGATATGTTTTAACCCCACTATCATTTAATTTTACCCAAAGCCTAAAGCATTTAGCTTCCTCAACAGAGACAGAGGCAACCACCTGAGAGAAGTACCTCTGAAAATAATCAGTGATTGTAGTCTCATATGAATGCCCGTGTTCAGCAGTTTATTACTCCTTTTGACAAACTTTCTGGGTGTAAAAAGTATTTTAACCATCCTGCTTTCTATCTAACCACCTGAGAGAAGTATCTCTGAAAATACTAACCAGTGATTGTAGTCTCATATGAATGCCCGTGTTCAGCAGTTTATTACTCCTTTTGACAAACTTTCTGGGTGTAAAAAGTATTTTAACCATCCTGCTTTCTATCTGCATTTCATACTCCTTTAAAGAAATATGTGTTTTTGGACATTCATATCAATTAATAGCAATTAACAGGCCATTTTCTCTTGTTTTTACTTTCTCAAGAAATAGCACAAACGGACACAAAAACATACAACAGCATAGATGAAGCTGCAGTAAAGCAATGATGAAGAAAGCTCAAACAAAAGCACTTTGTCTACTTGCAATAAATAAATAGATACATGATATTAAGATGCTGCTTCTTTGTCAGTCAATGTCTATTTGATTTTTATATTTTCCCCTTATTTAAGGATATCATTAATAACTTTCTAGAATAGTTGTGAGAGACCTGTTAGCTCACACAACAAAAACCCACTGTAAGCATACGGGGAAATAGCAATTCTAAGTACAGCTTTGCATGCAAAAAAATTAAATAAGGAAATTAGCAAGTAAATAAAATAACATCTGGTCCCCTCTCTCTAAAAGGAGATTATTCTCCTTTTCCAGACAAATAGCCTAGTTTATATACTAAGCAAACACTCCCTTACAAACATGTAATTGAAGTTTTTTGAGATGCACAAAAAAAATTAATGAAACAAAGAGGTTTCAACAAGGAAGCACAGAACCAAATAAATTAATCAAAAGACTGTTTAATACTTTTACATCAATTGTTGTTTTGAGACTAATCTAACCTTCACCCTCTCCTGGGTCTTAATCCTTGCCAAAGCAAATTTTGCAAGGCATCCTCTCCAGTGTAATCTATACATGGCTCAAGGTAAATACCCAGTTGTTTACAGCATCCCTGACCCACCAGTGTCTGAGGTAACTTACCACCCCCAATGGTTATCTTTACAGCACTTTCAGCTCCTACCTGTCTGAGTGAACCCTGACTTGTATCCATTAGCTGATCCACCCTCTGGGGTCGTGGACGGTGACACCGAAGGATTTGGTTTAGCAGGGAGGCTAGCAGCAGATGATTGCCTGCTTCTACATTCTGCAAATGAAGCAGCTACAGTACATATTAACAAGGCCTCCTTCCAGCAGCAAAGTCCAGCAACGCGGCGGCGAAGGGTGACAAAATGTTAAGAGCACACACAGAGCACGTACAACAAACAGCGGCAAATGGCAGCATTCAACGAAAATACGGATTCACAGTTTTGTCAACTTTGTCTTCTAATTAAGAAAACCTCCCTGGGGGCCACTCAGGGGGCCAGGCAAATACAGACCAGATGCTGCAAAATGGCAAGAGCCCTCAGATCACAGCTTCCAACAGATTTGAAGATATTGGACATGTCTCAGAAAATACTCAGCGACTTCTGTGGCACAACCTGTATACAAACCATCACATGTTGCCCTTTAAAAGGAGAAATTGTGCTGAGACCCAGATTTTTAATATGCTTCCATAAACCTTCAGGGAGATCTCAGCACTGTTAGTGTCTGTCTGAATGATAACTGAGTTGAGGGAGGAGAAAGTCACCTTGAAAATCACATATTAATCCATTTTTAAACTGAGATCTAATCAGGATTTGTTTTAAGAGAAGGGTTTAAGCATTTAAAAGCACTCTTCTTCTAATTAGACCTATAATGTAAGTGAAGAGTGAAAGGTTAGCAGATCGATGGCGACAATATGGGGATAGGACCTATCAAAGTAATGCCCATGAGGCTGACTTTTGGTTGATTTTCTGAACTTTCATGGGTGCTCAGATTAGCATATAACCAAAAGTGGAACCAGTATCTGCTTCTTCCACATGTGCATTACTCCCAACTGCATTTACCAGGACACACACCAACTCCAACTGCATGAGCATCAGGGAGGGGTTTCAGAAAAAATATTCCAGAAGTAAAATAAGGCTTCCTTTGTCTTTATTTGGAATTTCACTACCAAATTAAATCTTTGTGTCATTTTTGTGAAAAAATGCTGTTGAAAAGCCACATGCACTCTAAAGCAGTGTTAATTATCCTTGTAACAGAGAAAAACAGCTGAAGCCAGGATCCTTTTGAACCACTAACTGATACAAACTATAATCACTCATACATCTTGGTGATAACCATCTCTTTCTGGTGTCATGCTGCTATTCACATGAGGATGTGACTCCTCAGATGTCTGTCAGTTCTCCTGCAGAGCTTCCCCTCTCCTCACATCCACATTTTGGAACAACAGGGGCCAGATCAAATTCTGTCTTCAGTGAGTGAGATCACAGATGAAAAGGTCAGGTAGTCTGCACGTAAACCAGCTTGGTTGACAGTGAGTGGGTAAACTACTCTTTCCTTGAGTCCTTGCATGGTTCTAGCTACAAAACCCTGCCCCAAAATCCTCCAATAAAAGACCCCCTGGCTACCTTGCCTTGAGGTCACAAATGCAACCTCTTGTAGCACATAATATCACCCAGGCTGCTCTGGTAGAAGGTAAGACCAAGTTTAAAACACTGGAAATGGCAGGACCATCCAAGTCTTTTCTTTTCCTGAGATCAATGCCCTGAGCTTTCTTAATCTTACAGCATGCTAGCTATCTTCAGGCATGAGACAGATTGGATTGCACCTGCAAAGATGGATATCAGTGGAAAACCAATGCTGCAGCCCTGGCTGTGAGTCACCTTGCTTCAGGCACATAAAAGAATCATCAGACTGAGTAGCTTCTTCTCTTCTACCAAGATGACTGCACACTCTAAGATGGGAAGATCTAGGTCTGCCACCAAAAGTATGGTGAGATGAAAGAAGAGGGTTCACAATCAGAGGGTTATTATTAAGACTTTAACTTCTTTGGCAAAATCCAAATTTCAGTGAAATCAGTGAGAATTCTCCCTTCAAGCAGCTACTTTTGAATGCATACATTTTCAACAGCAACTTGCAATTTTTCATTCAACATCACCCCTAACAGCAAAAACCACAAAAATTGAATGGGCACCTTAATTACCTTTCCAGCAAATAAGGGGTCCCTTTGACAGTACACCTTGGGAGCTTCTTACTAGGTAGTACTTTAAGTGCTTCTGCTTCTTTGGCTGAGTGGTTAATTTCAGGTTGATATGATTGGAAAACTCTGTGAAGTACCGAAATCCTCTTTCTCCACAGCCTATACAATTCCCAGAAAATCCTGAAAGAATGAAGCAGAAGACACACAAACAAATTAAATGTCTTTTACTGTCAGCTAGGAATAAGGCCACCTAAACCTACCTGCACACCCAGTTCCAGGGGACTGGAGGGCTCCAGCCAGCCAGCTTCTGTGGACACAGCACGTGTGTGTCAGTCTTAGCTCTTCTGAAACTGCTACATCTCTTTGGGGCATACTGACTCATGTCAAAATCCTACCACCAGTTTTCCACTCTACACAGCTCAGAGAAGAATAACTACTTGACAAGGGGAGAACTATGTTGCCACATTAGGAAATTTCCATGAGGAAAAAAAAAAAGGCTGTTTTTTCTCTATTAAAAAAACATGGGTTCCAAACTGCAGACATCTCTCTCAAAATAGTGGCTAATTCATCAGAGCAATTTCATATGAGTAAAATTACCATCAAATAAATTTTCCCTGAAGCTTCTTACACAAAATACTTTCCAAGTAAGCTGAACCTTACATTTTATTACAGTCTTGAAAGCAATCACTCGACATCAAGATTTGCATGGCCAAAGTTAGGAGTGCCTCAAAATAGTTAAAAAAAACTACAGCTTCTCAAGAAAGTAACCATTTTAGGGACAAAGACTGTTTTTCTGCAACCTTCCCCACAAGGTTTCACAGAAAGGGGTGAAATTTTGAGTTGAGGTCTGGAGGACATAATCCAGACTAAGAATTATGAGCAGCCTTGATTTCCAGTGTCATTCACAGCTGTGTTAATGGGAATATGGCATAACGATGACACCAGTGTAACATTTCATAGAACAAAGCACAGGGGGTGTTCTGAAATGGGTCTGCCTTAAAATCTTTGTTGTTTGAATCAGCCCTCTATTATCTAATGCAGAACAGTTAAGTCCCGTTGTCTTACTTGTCATGCCACTTATCTCTGAACTGCTTTCAACCCTTAATGAAACAGATTTTCTATGCAATATCAATAATGATTTATAAAAGTGCTAGCAGATAAATACGTAGTGGAAATGCTTTATTTTTGTTTGTCTGTTTTTTTTTTCCATTTACTAGTAAGTTCAAGATCTGTAAGAGAATCAATTTTTCGTTCTTGTTACTATCATTATTTTTCACAATGACAAACAGCTTGGAGGATGCTGGTTCCTACACTCACATCAGCCAGAATAACGGGTTTATAACAAAGATATTCAGTGTTTTTGACAAAACACCTTACCCATAAAACTCTTAATAATTAGGCCATTGTCTTTAGCCTTACTGCACCTCATTATCATCTTTGATGAGGACGCCAAGATGCAAATTTCTTCATCTGTTTTTCCTGGGACTGCATCATTCTTTCTTTACTCCCTTGCAGCCCACAGAATCTACTGATGCATCTCCACAGTTTTCAGAAAGAGTAACCAGGGTCTCTCAGAGCTACTAAGTCAGTTCTTTGCTCACAGGTGCCAGTGACAGAAGCCTGGAGGCACTTCAATACCTCAGCAATGCCAGAGGTGTGAGTCACCAGGCTCCTTAACAAATGAGACCAGAGATGATGGATGGATGGATACAAAGCTGGGATGGGGGTGGGAGGCTTACCAACAAAGGCAAGCAGTACCACATTTAATCAGGTTTAAACACCATCTGCCTATCAGTTCTCATTGGTCAGCTCCTGACACTTCCCCTGCTTAGCAGGGGAGAAGCTCCTCTGAATCCTGAAGTGTACCCTGTTATCCAAAATCCCCAGTTATGCCCAGTGAAGGCACATCACACCACAGCTCTATCTAACTCAGGCCAGGGGCATTTCTGCCCTAGGCCCAAAGGTTTGCTGTGTATGGATTTGTCAAATGGATTTAATGGAGAGGTAATGTTAAAGCACAGAACAAAGCTGCTTCCAATAGTTACACAAAATATTGGTGGTCTGCACCAGAATTTGAGCAATGAAGTTAAATCAGGGTATTTATCCTTTGTTGTAATTTCTTTTCTGTTGAAAGGTCTTGATGAATATATCCTAGGCAGAGCAATGACTGGAGGGAGAAATGAGAGAGTAAATTCAAAACAGGCTAAAAGAGCCAAAATACATTCAATCACTTCTACTAGCTTGTTAAAATGTGTACCAGTTGTGATCCAAGGAGGAAATCTAGGTGCACATAGGCCTGTCTTCAATTACCAAGAGGCATTGTTGTACTAAAATTTTAAACTTCATAAATGTAACAGATTATGACATAATTGGAAAAGGTGGGGCAGGGTGTCTCTGTGTATTGGGTTTTGGGAAGCAAACTGCTCCCAGAACTTCTACTGAGAACAATGATCCTGGTGAAGCCAAGGGCAGAAAACATCCCTTAATTAAATTTTTTTTAAAAAATTATATAGTTCATTTTCTGTACTTGCATGAGCATATTTCTCCTTAAATGAAAATGCTGTAAGCTCCAGCTGAGATAAACAGTATGGATAGCTCACATTTAGAATGCCAGGGCTGCAATTGACTTCTGCCCACACAGAAACCTAGGAGATTCAATTGTGATTAATTGTGGAATCAGGGACTTGTTTTAAAATGGGCTTTTAAGGCAGGTTCATCTACAGATTTGATTTAATGAAGTCAGTCCTCTCCTCAACATATTTCTAATAGAAGGTTATTAGTTGAAATGACATTAGATAATTTTCAACTGGATTTTTTTTTTCTCTGAATTATTATGGCACAAAGAAAAAAAGATCTCTTACCTAAAAGTGCATTTTTTCCATGATCATCTGGCAAAAACCTCTTGTCAACAGCGCAGACTAGAATGTGGTCAGGAAGATTGGGAGATTTGGCTCCTACTAACAGGAAGCCTGCTGGGATATCAATTTGCTCCATGCACAGAGATACTAACCGTAAATCCTTGCCTGCTTGACAAAAACCTACAAAACAAAGCAAAACAAATGATAGCTCTTCAGAAGAATTCATTTAATTTTCTTTGTTTTATCAGTTGCAAAAGTAAATGGGCTTCACAACTTGATACTGTAACTGGAACTTTAATATATCCTTTTCAAGGGAAATAGAGGAAATTGAGATAGCATCTCATCACAACCACTTGCTGAGAGTTTCATTATTTTAAATATGCTGAACATATACAGGCACAAAAGAAATTTAAGTGTCCAAACATTAGACATCAAATGGCTCCGAAACCCAATTTTTCAAAAACAATCAAAATAAGAGGATAAGCTTGTGATTTAATTACAGAAAACAGCTCTTAAAACACACCAAAGATTATTTTTTCTTTGCCAAACTTTAGTTTACAGTTTTTTCAAGAGAAACTGTTTTGTCTTAGTTGCTTGTAGAAGGCTAGAATTGATACATAAAGACCATTAAGTAATACAAAAAATGATAACAATTGATGATGGAAGTTTAGTAGTGGCTACTAAAAGTTATTTTATTACATTACAATAATTAAATATATAATTTTAAAATTCTCTACACAATTTAGAAATTCCGGTAAATAAATAATTCACTAGTTTTAGACACGTGTATCATGTTTTTGCTACATCTCCAGTTGAGTCTCTTGAAGTCTCAGTGTACTGCATGACTTTCTAGTCCCCAGTTAGTCTTTTCCCCACTCAAACACACATATGCCCACAAAATAAGGACATAACATTGCCTCTTGGGCTTCTAATCAATGTAGAGCTAAAGCAGCAGAAGTGGGCAAAAATGGGGACCTGAGGGAGTTTCTGCTGTTCTATACCCTTCAGTGAGCAGGTGGCAGGCTGGGTCACACAAAAAGCATAGCAAGGCAACCCAGAGCAGTGTCCAGGCTAAATAAACAATAAATAAAGAAAATCACAATCACAAGAATCAAGATTACTGTGGAAGTTGAACTTACTGCAATAGCTATTAATACCTATTATTTACACTTGATTTAAAATATTATTCATGTAAATATTATTCATTGTCACAGAAATGTTAAGGAAGAAAAAAAAATCCTGGAGGAATATCTTGGGTAAGCATGTGGTAACAAAATGTGATCACAGCTTAACCAAAACCCACCTCAGCCATTATTGATACATATGTCTGTGCTCTTAGCTCTTGGGCCAAAACCTGTAGCAACTTCAGCAAAAATTATGGAAGTTAATGGGTTTTGGTTTTATCTCAGAACTGTAGCAGGCACAGAGCATGTGCAAAGTGGAATGCACAGAATCAGCTTGCATGAATTTCCTCACAAGCAGCAGCTTGCTGAAAACAGGGTCCAATACAGGTTCAGTCTTGTGCCTACATTCACAATCTGCTGAACCAGTTCTTGGCTGAATGGTTTCTTCAGTTCTTCAATCAGCTCAGTTCCAGCAGCAGCTCATGGAAAGCTAGCTGGGATGCACCCCTCACACACCTTTTTCCAGGCAATGAATTGAAATGAAGCACCTGAAGTTTTCATGTATGAATCAGTGGATTATACCAATAAATTATCAATAAAAACTTACATATGCTTTAGGAGAGAAATATTAAATGTGCATATTTAAAGCACAATTAGTTCTTTTCTGATTAGGTGCCATTTGATTTTTAAATTTCTGTTAAATTTCTCTTAAGGCATGTTCTCTAAAAACATATTGATCGTAGTGAAATAGAAAGCCAGGTACCAGGGTAAGTATTATCTAGATTTTCTCATGTAATTTAGAAAAACAGACAAACCCAGGGGGAAAGTCCCTTACATTCAAAATAAAATTTGCTTATTCAAATGTTTATATCACCTGGGTATTAAATCCAGAATTTTCAAAACTAACCTTAAATATTTAGGCATTCAGTGAAATCTGAGTAGTTGACATGCTTAGAAAATACCACTTTACATCTAGATTTAAAACAGAAAAATTGCCCACTGCTGACAATGTGGGCAAACAGGAAATCTGAAGATAAGGATTATGAAACAGCAAGTGCAGTAAGATTTCAACACAGATTTAAACCCGTGCTTTTACACAATTAGCTTCTAGCCCAGTCTCTACCTAAAAATGTTCTGGAAATGCCCAGAAGCACAAATGGTGCCCAACAGGAGGCTTTTGAAGGAATTGCTTGCAATACTGGCACAAGCAAGGTTGTCAGTGTTGTTGTGTGTCAACACAGACTTGCTTTCTGAAGGAGCACGCAACATTGGGAAGGGTGAATATCACATGGGAAGCGTTGAGCCCCTTGGGCTGCTTGTGGGTTTTGATGTCCCAGTGAAGTGAAACAGCGCTGCACGACATCCCAGGTGAAAGAAAAGACTCAGCTTTATGTGGGCTATGAGCAAAACAGCTTCAGCTGTGCTTTGAGCAGCTGTGTGTCACCATTCTGCATCTGTCCTCAAGGAAGAAGGTACAGGAGAGCCCTAAGAAAAAACATCTTACCAAGTTTACAAGCACAATTCAGTAACAGCCTGCTATCATGGGAACAGCAGCCTCTTAGCTGAGAGGCTGTAGATCTTAAAATACTTAATATTTCCCACCATTTAGGATACGTAGCTGAATCTGCAAGCAATACCTTATGATTCACCCCAGTATCATCTCTTACTTAGCCAGTGCTCCCAGACCCCTTGCACGCTCCCCCTTCTCCCTCCTTTCACAATCTCCTTTGGCATCCTCTTCTGCTTTGGCTGGCGACATCTCTGGATCAGAGAGGTATGCATGTGCAGACTGGCTGGCCAGCACATGCCTCTGTGATGTTCAGCCTGTGAGAGAGCTATAATTACTTTGCTGCCCTAGGGGACTTAAGTTTGGGGACACCGATGTCATCCAAACAGCTCCTGAACTTCACAAATCTTGCTGAAATTCACTACCTTTATAATCTCTACCCCTCTACCAGAAATGGCAGAAAGCAGCCACCAGCTCAGAGCTCACAGGCGACTGCCAAAACCTCGTTTGCTGAGGTGGTGAGATAATAAACAGGGCTGACACCAAATGGTTTCCTCTGGCTCCCGCTCTGAGAGGGAAAAGGATCCCGATGGGTGGGCATGAGAGGCAGCACAGAGAGTTCTCTCAGAGCCTCCAGGAACTTTTCTCTTGCTCGTCGAACAGCTGCCACAGGAGAAGCAGGGAGGGCTGCAGAGCTTGGTACTTCCACCAGGAGATACGGACAGGATGCAAATCTGCTCCTGTGCAGTAAAAGGTTTGAATTCTCCTTCAAAGACATGCAGATGGTATACTTCAAGAGCCCTTCATTATCCTTTTTTCCCTTGACTTTTAGGGCTGAAAAGCACTCTTTTAAGTTTCTGTTCCTTTTTGAAACTGAATGAGGAAATTCCACCCAAAATACATTGATTTGGAAGCAAGTAACTGTGGGGAGATGAAGGGGGGATTAACCCTCTCCCTGTTACATTGTCTTTTTCTAATTAGCAAGCACCACAGAGATCCCAACCTTATTTTCTTTTCTTTTCTGTTTTGCATAATTTTTGCATTGGTAATTAATTATCTGTTAGAAATAATAATTTCCACATTAGGAAAGACAAGACATAATGTTTCAGTACTAGATGAACTTGTGCTGTCAATGTCTAAGAACATTTAAAATCCATTTACATTTCATAGCTGTTCATTTATAACTGTGCTGGCACCTACATTGCTACGTCAAACAGCAGTAAAATATTTCCTCTAAAGAAGAAAGAATGGCACTTTAATTTACTAGTGAACCTTTTATGAAAATGTAAGTACAAAGAGAAGAAAACACGAGTCAGTAAACCAAACCAAATTCTCTTTGTGAAATCTTTTATCGACATGTAACTGAACTACTGAAAAAAAAAACCAAAACAAACAACATGTTCTCACAGGATCTCAGCTTTGTTTCAAATAAGGACAGGCACTTATATTTCAATTAAAGATTTGCAAATACCAGGAGCAGTCACCAAAAATTTAAAATATTAACAGCTTTTACAGACATCTGTATTTCTCTGCATTAGTTTTTGCTTCTGAGTGCATTCTCCAACATCACTTCATTTAAAGTAACCCAGTCCCGTCTTCCTGAAAATGTATCCCCGCAGCTGTCAAGGACTACAAGTGCTGGAATCTTCTTAGAAATGAAACTTGTATCTGTCTTCCCTTTCCCTGCTGTAAGAGGTAGTTTCCATGTGGGGCACCAGCCCCTTCTTGCACTATAGTAAATGGGCTATTTGCATAAGGAATTAGCTTCCAGGAATTACATATGAATTAGGGGTCACTGTCACTCGCTATTGTAACCTCACGGTAACTGATCAGGTGTTAAGTACCTCCTTACCTAATTGCTTCTGAAACTACCTTGGCCTTTCTTTAAGCATCAGGTAAATTGAGGATTTGCTAACAAAAGAAAGGTGATACTATTGTGTTTCCCACAGCTTGCATAGAATGTTATTCCACAAATTAGAAGCAGCCTCTTTTAAAGCTACAGCAAGCAAGAGGTTCAGAACAGCTTCTTGATAATGCAAGAATTTTGTTGCCTATTTGAGATATCCATATGAAAACAAATAAATTATTTTTCTTGAAAGCCTATTTTCATGGAAATTTTAGTTACAAAAATTTGTGTTAAGCAGGAAGAAACAAAAACAAACCCCCAATGCCCCTGAAAATAAGTGAATTACTTTCTTGACCAATAATAGCAAGTTCAGTGGCAAATACAGTTGCTCTTTCCAATGGGCTAAGGAGAGAGAGTTAAGACATCTAATGCTAGCTGAGAAAGAATCTCAAACAAATGCACTTGTGAGATACTTTTTTTTTTCCTTTGGCTGACAACTAAAGGCATTAAGATCTACTTTCTGCAGCCATGTGACTGACAAATGCCTCTGAATAAAAGCTCAAGTCACTACAGAAAATAATATGATGGTTATGGCACACATCCTGAATTCAGGAAAAACAAACAACACAAATACCTTAAAGGGAAAAAGATTTCATCCCACCTGATTCAAAAGGTGGGAAACAGGTTTTACAGCAAGCAGAGCCATGAACTGCAGGCTCTAGTACCAATATTTTGCTCTTGGATAAGCAATTGAATACATGCTTAGTTTAAAGTATCCAAATACAGTGAGTTCAAATGGTCTATCAGTATTGTTTAACATCTTCATAATGTTATTTACCTTTGCAATTAAATAAGTAAGATAAGGGATGCAAACAATGGCAGTGATCCTGTCTTACATCTCTGGAAGGCATACTCATGAGATGAAAGATGAGCTATCAGATTAATATCTTGTTGAGATATGGTCTGCAGTGTGAATGTTTGGGAACCAGGGCATTTTAAACAATTATGCAAAACTGTCCTAACAGATCACCAGAAGTATTTGAAAAAAAAAAAAAAATCTGTTTTCCTTTTCCAAATACAAAAACACTGCTCTCTTAAATCAGTTCCTTGAGAACATCTAAAAGCAAGGTAGATTTTGTAAACTCACAATGGTAAACTTAAAAATGAGTAATGAAAAACCCTAAAATTCTGCATATGTAACACACAGAACTTTCTTCTAAAGTGCTTTGATCATAAAAGCCTTATAGATAAAAATCAAAACACAAAACTGCCCCTGAAAGGTCAATCCCAGGACATACTAAGACGTTTAATATTACATACATATAATATGTGAAGCACTGCTCCTCCTCTCCAAAGGAGATTTTGCAGACTTTATTGATACTTGTCCTCAACTGAGAACACTTTCCTAGGAATACATTGTTTTATACTTTCTCCTTCCCTCCTCCTTCAAATTTACGAGCCTTCAAAGAACAGAAAGCCACACTTCTGTGTGAATAACAAATTCTCCCAACAATATTCCCCACCTTTTCACAGTAGCCAGCCAGCCCTTCTGTTCTTTCTGCTACAGGGAACAGGCAGGATGCTGTTACAGAGGGTAAATATGCTCCTGTGAGCTGCATTTGGAAATGGAAAAGGCAAAGATGACAACACAAGCCACTAATGCCAAACCCCTAGAAATGTCAAAGAATTACCAGCGGTTGGTCCTTACTTCTATCGCTTCATATAACCAGATACTTCAGTCAGGTACAAAACCATTTCAAAGTTACAGTTTTTTGATTAACTGTGCACATGGAATTCCACAATTCAGGAGGATATTGAATAAAAGGTCAAAAAGAGCATTTGGATCTGGTGGGAATAGTTCTTGTTTCCAGGTGTCTGAAGTCAGCAGGGAGATGTTTTAACAAGAAGCACATCTAACAATTATGAGCAGATCTTCCTTTTTTGAGGAAGCTAAACCTTCAGAATAGAGCAATTCTGGGGTAAGATGAACCAATCACAGATTTTTCTTAGACTAAGTAGGTACATGCATAATTACCTGGTTCTTTCTTTAACACATTTAAACCCAAACAAATATAGTATGGTCAACAATTTTGCTCATCTTGAGCAACAACAAATCAGGACAGCTCAGGGAAGGAAGCAATGGCCAACAGGCACATGGGGAAGACAAAACAGACAAGCTTCCACTACCAAACTTCTTGTCACCTCAGCAGCAGAAATTACACTAAGTGTCCTCCCCATTTTCTTTTTCCAAACTCTTCCTTCAGCCCATGGAAGCAACTAAATCCAGCTTTGCCAATGTTTTGAGAATCATTTAGGGATAGATTGAGAAGGAGCCATACTGATGTCAACTCAGATAACCTCTTTGAAGACAGTGAATCAATGAAAACCACAGACAAAAAAGGGCTTTCAGAAACTAATGACATGCCACAGCCAGTCCTCAACATTGCTTTCAAATGATACATTAAATTTAATGTCCTCAAATAAGTCCTTCTAATCCGTATCTTGCAAGATCTATGGCTTTGACTATAAACTGTATTTTCAGACTTTCTAACTCAAGAATTTGTAACTGCAGAGAGTGCACATTATCACTAGAATCAGGTGTGGAGATCATACAGTAAAAAAAAGGGTACCAACCATCAGTAGTGCAAGACCCTTCTGGGGCAGGTTTTTGCGAGTATGGGATTGGTGGACTACTTGAATCTGACATGTCTTCATCCTCTTCATCTTCCATTTCATTAACAGCTTGGTTGGTAGAAAAGTCCAGGTTTCCATTTTGTGAATAGCGATGTACTAACTCTTTATCCAACTCTTCTACCTTTGGTTTCACATCTGAAGAATAAAAATAGTAAAAATAATATAGTAAAAATAAAAATAACCTAGAAAATTAAACTTTTCAACAGTATCTCCTTTTAATATAACATTTATCTCCTTTTAAAATAACCAGCATGCCATTCTTTCCCCTTACTGAAGCCCAAGATTCAGATTTTGTCACACAATTAACTGTCGTGAAGTTTGTTTGCTTTTTTTTAAGCGAAACACACACACACAGAAAAACAACTGAAACGTGCCATACTTTCATGGTTACCTTCCGGCAGGAAAGGAGGCTGGTCAGGATCCAGGTACAGCTGTGAGAAGATTGGCCGTGGGACAACGCTGCTGCATCTCAGAGAAGCTTCTATGGAGTTATGAAGAGCTTCTTCGAAACGGGCAGATTTTAGTTGCCCTGCATATGAATTCCCCATGATCTAAAAACACAAAGGAAACAGCTGGTAAGGGAATGGGAATGCCCATGCACAGAGAATTTACAAATGAAGACAGAGGTCTTACTATCATCCATGACAGTGATATAAAGTTAGCAAGAAAATATGCTGTGCAAACAACATCTCTAACAAGCACCACACGTTCACGTTTCTCTCTCAGTCCAACAGACTGAATCCCTCTGTTCCACTAAGTTTTTAGCACATCTCTAACACACTGCTCTGTGTCTTCTGAGTACATGGCCTCTCAACAGCCTCAAGAACCTGCCTGGCATAAAAAATTAATGGAGGATAGATAAAATTATCTATTATTATTATTATTATTTGGGTTTTTAGGATATTCAGGGTGGAATACAGAAGGGTAGATGACAAAAAAAATTTAAAAGTCAAGTTGAACTTCATCAGTTTTTGCCAGAGTGTGTTTACATGATTTTTCACTTGTCAGTATGCCATTATTTGGAGAAAACCTTTACACAAAGAAATCTAATAACTTGAATTTTTGCTCTTGCTCATATTAACTGAAATTACATGGAAGGTCAGTTTCTCTGTCTTTTCAGAATCTTTTCACCTCTTGTCTTCAGTGTAATATTATGATTTACATTTGTCTGACCTATGAAAGGATCTAGTTATAACAAGATATATATATATATATAAAAGAGAGAAATAAGTAAATTCTAAACCACATGCAGCAACTACAGTAAAATGTCTTTATTTGAAAATATGCTTTATTTATAATTAATATTTCTGCTTATATCAATGACGAACTTAGGAACTTAATTAAATATTCAAGCACAAACAGACCTGTAGATAATTTCTGCTCCTTGGATGGATTCACACAGCCCAAAGACTGTTATATTTGTGCACCCAGCACTAGGATACAGACACTCAAATTTAAACATTTAGTAACAGGGTGGCCACAGAAGGTTTTAAAATGAGCTAAAGGAGACTCATTGAAATATGAAATTTTCCACTTTGCTAGATCATTATACCAAATGACATTTGTTCCAAAGAAAGAGCAGTCTAAAATCGTCCAACTTCTGAGAAATGTATTTCAACAGAGAAAAGTTTACCCCAGTTATACCAACACACACAAAAGTACAAAACCTTATAAATTATCTTTGTATTTCCCCTCAGTAGATGTCACCTAGCCCTACAAACAGGAAGAGACCTTGGCCAAGAAGATAAGTTGGCATTTTGAAAACCTACAGTTCCACTCCTGCTTTATCACCGGGTTGCTCAAGGTCCTCAGGGCCACCTGTAAAAGGGCAATAATCATGACAGCCACTTCCAGCAGCCTTTGAGGGCTGCTGGTGGAGACAAATCGCTAAGAGCTAATTATTACTGCACTACTGGGTACACAGGTGTGAAACAAATCGAATTATTCACCTCTAACCTGGGAGAGAGGGTCAGTTACCTGTTTATAGTTTTTATGCAGGTCTGGGAAAGTAATTTCTCATCTCTGATTTAGACTGGCTTTTAATAGATTTTGTGGAAACTACATTTCTCTACCCCAACCAAAGACAATACCAGATAAAAAACCATTTCTTAACCTGACACATTCTGCTATTTCAGCAGTGAAATACCTAAGATAAGTAGATTCTCTATTCCCTTCTACATGTTTTCATTAGATTTGGAAATGGTAGGGACTGTATACAAACACACAACTACAAAGTGTGTTAGGGAAAAAAAAACTACACTGAAGCAGTATTAAGGCTGCAGTAGCCTAAAGCCTGTCAGGTGCCTTTGAAAAAAAGAATTGATGGAAATCAGCTAAGTGACTGAAATACTTGTTTTTCTGAAATCAGTGATGATAATTCCACAAATATAAATGAAATAATGACAGACTATTATTAAATTTCATGCAATAAAATTTAATTTCTCTGCTGTTTATGTCAGTTATGATGTGCTTAAGGTAAGATTTGAGGATTGTACTCAAATTAAAAGAGTTTAATTAAGACATCATAATGAAAATGAATCAAACTTCATGAATCAGAAAATTTGCAATCCCCACAGCACAACATCTGTGTGAAGTCTGTTCATTCTCCATTGTTGCATAAAATCTATGACAATCATTTTCATTTCGATGGGAAGCTATTAATAAAGCATAGCGCACACACAGCAAAAACGCTGGCAATTTGATTTGCTTCCCTGGCATCTACACAAGGAGACTCACCCGCGGATGGAGATTGTCACAGATTTACCAGAGAAAGGTTAATGGTTAATGCTACCAGAGGATGTTTCCAGCTTGCCAAGAGACAAGAAGATTGTTGTTGGGAATGCCGAGCAAAGGAAAGCTCGGGAAGCACAGCTCCGGTCCCTGCAGCGCGGCAGCAGAGCGGGAGGAAGCGATGCCAGGGATGGGGCCGGGCACGGCGGCCACGGGCCCTGCTGAGGAAGCCGAGAGCCCGGAGAACAGCACGGGGCAGCCGATCTCCTAACACGGCCCGAGGCCATTAGGGCAGCTGGGCCTCATTTGGAGCTCAATAGAGCTGGGGAGGGGAGGGGAGAGCAGGGGCTTTTCCTTCGGCAGGGCAGAGGAGGTGGCAAGACTCTCCAGCAGCGAGCTGCGGCCTGGCTCAGGCTGCCCTTGATCCAGCCTCCCCGAAAGCCAGGAGCACCAATCCAAGGGAGTTCAACACTCCTTAGTGTTTCTGCACTTGATTCTACCCCTAAATGCCTGGTGTAATTAGGAAATGGTTTATTTTCCTCCTCATAGTGTAATTGGGAGCACACCTCAGCAGCGGCAGAGGAGACGGGAGAACGTGCTTTAAATGGACTCCAGCGTGCTGAGGGGGCTTGGGGAGGAGGCAGCAGAGCCTATGGGACAAATAAATTGATGGAATTTAAAGGGAGGGGAAAAAAAAACCTACAAAAAAAAACCTACAAAAAAAATCCCAAACAAAAAACCAAAAACAAACAAACAAAAAAAAAACACAAAAAAAACCCCAAAAAAACCAAGACAAAACCAAGAGCACACACCTCCCCCCAAAACAACAACAACAAAAAAAACCAAAAGAAAACAAAAAAAACCCCAACCCCCCCCCAAAAAACACCAAAAACCACCAAAATCAAAGAACATTTCTCTAATTAAGACATGTATCTGCCATATCTGCATTTAAATACGACCAAAGCCAATGATTTAACATAACTAAATTAATGCTCATTGTTAAAAAAGTTACCCAAGTAATATGTCTATCCAACATTCATACATGAGGTCATTTGGCAAAAACAAAACAAACCAACCCCTCTTGCTTTCTATAGTGAAATTTAGACAAGGTTTTCTTAAAAGTCTGTCCATCGGATGCATCAGTGAGCTCAGGAGAATGTGGGAAAGACATTCCATTGTTGAGTTCATCTGAGCTGATCTGACACGGTGACTGAGAAAACAGAGCTGGACTTGACTCAGGAGCTCCTCCCTGATCTCACAAACCTGTTTTTATGCTGCCAGCTCTGGCACATCAGGGCTCACCCTCGTGTCCATTGTTCCACACCCAGCAACATGGCATGGAGCTCTGCTGGAGCCTTAGCTGCGTGCACCAAGAGGTTTCCAGTGGGCAGGAGGTTTGATGAGAGGGTAAATAATCATTTGCATATCTACCTGCACACTAATTGTAGCTAACTCAGCACAGAGCTGGTTAGATTCCTGCCAATGAGCAATCTGCACATCTCTAATTCAGTATTCCAGCCCTCACCTTTCCTTTTACCTGCACCACTAGATGGATGCCAGTGTAATTCTTAAGTTGCCTACTTCTCTTGGTGACTTTTTAAGGTCTGTTTTGGATTGAACTCTACAGAATGTTAGTATGTGCAAAGTGTATGTGTATTTAGCTGCTATACTTTTCCTTCCCCACCACCCTACCAAGGAAGGAAGTCCAATTTGGCAACACTCCTTCTAAGGCTCCCCCTCTACCACAACAATTTTCCCACCATACACAGATGAATTTTATTTAATTTCCTTAAAACTCACTACAGGGATTAGAAGATATTATAACAATTGAATAATTTCAAAATTAAATTTGAAAGAAAACATTAAATTATAGGGGAATTTCCTAAAATTTAGATCACCTCCAGGTTCTATCACTCTCAGCATTCTTCTTTGAAAAGATTCAGACACCATCCAGCACATCTCCATTGCTGCTGTGCTTCTACAAAGCAAATTTCCCAAACCCACTTCAAGTCTTCTTTGCAGTGGCACTGAACTAGAGGATTAACCATGAGATTTGCTGGAGCGAGAACTGCCTTAAAACAGAGCTGGAAGGCAGCCCTCACATTGCCATCTGTCTCCTTACAAAGACACACGAACAAGGCAATTGTTATTCCTCTATTGGAATTGTGAAATTCCTCTAACCAAGGAAATTGTGAAATTCTTCAAACCTGACCACAGGTAAAGGAGGATTATTGCTACAGCTTTAAAGAAAACAATTCATATGGGCATTTACTGTGGAAAGAAAAACTATGATTACCATGAGCTTCTATCAAAGCAGACAGAAATGGAAATAACAAAAGCAAAATTTCAAAGATAATTGGTTTTAACACCGCATCACTTTGCTGTGTGGTGAAGGACTCAGGGAAATTCTAATCACTCCTTCAAACTCAGAAGCTGAATTTACAAAAAGACCTTGTCAATTCAAGCAAATAATTTTGTTCCATGTGATCACACAGGTTTCAAAAAATCTGTGCAGAGACATGACATGGGATGTTTGAGAAAAACCAGAGCCCAGGTCCAGCAGTGTGTAAGTACAGTAAGCACTACCCACTTTTAGGTAGGAAAAAAGAAGGAAAAAAGGTGACTATGCTTCTTTACATTAAAAAACCAGAACAAACAAACAAAAATAAAAGTCATCTCTGAAAAGTGCATCATGACTCAATAACTCTTGGAAGCCAGAAGTGCACATTGAGTTGAAGGCTCTGCTAGTAAAAATATAATCAGATCATTCAGTACACCAGATACCACATATTTGGCCTCCAGGTGGGTCATGACCCCAGAG